CGAATTTTCGGCTGCTCAAACATTGAGGCTGCTACAGAAAGCCTTTGGGTACTCGACTATGTCGCAGATAAACGTGTTTAAACGGCTTAAACGACTTAAAAGAGTGTCGGATTTTGTTGATGACTTGGAGCGCTTGTGATGACTATCAACGTCGTCTGATGTGCAACACGTCATTGAAATTGAGGAATTGGGGCTGAAAAATCGTCGTGCGCTGAAGGCTTTCAGAGACCTTACTGATATGTTTGGAATATCAGAAGGATCTATAAAAACGATTTGAAAGACTATTTGGGCCTACGAAAAGTCAAATCTTGTTTGGTTTCAAAAACACACAGTTTCATGGAAAAAGTCGTCACCATGATTTCCGACTACCAGGACAGGTGAATCTATGCCTACGACCCTGAAACCACCGACCAATCAAGCGAATATCGTGCTAAAGTTGAGGCAAAACCGAAAAAATTACGTCAAAGTCGCCTAAAAATCAAGGTCACGTTGACTGTTTTCTTCAATTTTCGTGGTGTGGTGCATTATGAATTCCCTCCGCCTGGTCAAATAGTAAATAAGGTATATTATGTAAGTGTGATGCGGCGTTTGCGTAAAGCGATTCGCAAAGAAAAAAAGCAGAATTATGGACCAACAATTCTTGGTTTTTGCATCACGATAATGCACCGTCGCAAACAACACTCATTCTTCGTGACCATTTCGCGAAAAATTCTACGAATATCGTTCCCCAACCACCGGACTTAGCACCATGTGATTTCTGGCTCTCCCAAAAACTCAAGAGACTACTTCGAGAACACCGTTTTGAGTCGATTGAGGAGATTATACGTGAATTGGTGCGCTCTTTTTGAAGGTCATACCAGAATGTGACTATTTGACATGCTTCGATAATTGCAAATAGCGTTGGCATAAGTGCATTGCATTGGCAGGGAACTGATTTGAAGACGACGAAATCGATGTAGAAGAATAAATAAAGACTTTTAATTTTACAAATAAATTCACCTTACTTTTTGCCCTCAGTAAATATTGTTTTAACGTTGAGTTTTACTTTATTTTATTTTAAATCATTTATTTTATTTTTTATTTTTTTTATTTTATTGTATTTTATTTTATTCTAATATTTTATATTATATATTTTCATATCATTTTTTTTATTTTATTTTCTTTTCTTCATATTTCACTTATTATTTTATTTTTTTCTTCGTTTTATTTGATTTTATTTTAGTTTATTTTATTTTATAACATTTTATTAAATTTTTCTTCATGTTATTTTATTTCATTTTAATTTTATTATTTTATGCAATTTAATTTAATTTAATTTTTATTTTTATTTTGTTTTACTAATTTATTTTATTTTATTTTATAATATACTATTTTGCTTTTATGGTATTTTATTTTAATTAATTTTATTATTATTCTTATTTTTTGCTTTTGTTTTACTAATTTTTTTTCTTTTATTTCATTCTATTATTTTCATTTTTATTTAATTTATTCCATTTAGGGTTTTTTTGACTTTTACTGTGGAATCTAAAGATTTTTCACCGCAACCCGTTGAAATTGCTATTAAATTCGAAGTAAGTTACACCACTAGTTAGTATTATAATATAATATATATACATATGTAACATGACAAACAGAAAAAACTAAATACATTTTAGTCACCATTTATTAAACACTCCAAATACTTATCGCTTTGTTTTATCTTCATAACTCTTATCACACTTTTTCTTTAAATATGACAAAGCAGAAGTTTTGTGATGATATCATCGAAGGCAGCGGGTTGCGGGGTAGGTTTTTTGAATGATTTATCATTAATGTGATCGTAAATGTTGGTGAATATATATATAGATACATAATTTAAATCGTAGATTTTTCAACTCAGCAGAGATCAGACCAAAAGCCATAAATTTCTATATGTACAATTGTATATGTATGCATGTACATATGTATGTGCGATTGAAAAGGAATAAAGTAAAGTAACGCTATGTACTGTACTGTAGCTTCATTGCGAAGCCTTTGTCACGTATACGCAGAGTCGTGCTAAGTCATGTGAAAATGCGTATTGAATTGAACTCTTAAAGATATTTTAGCGCTTTAAGATGTAGCACTAACCTAGAAATATTTTTACTTTTTCTTGCCTACACTTTTTCAATAGTTTTTGAAACTATTTGAGGCTCGTGCGTTTATTATTACGACTATAAACCCCCCAAAAATGTATTATTCTAAAAGTTTCATGTTTTGGTACTAAAAAAAATCCCTTACTTTGTTAAAAAAAATTCTAACTTACATATGTACATATATACCTATTTAATCAAGGGCAAACCACTAAACATGTACATATATATATACATATGCATATGGACGTGAAATAACGGTTTTACTGTTAAATAATCTAAGGTTGCACAGCACAACCGACCTTTGCTTTTTTCTTAGAATAAATGAGTATGATATACATATAAATTTATACATGATACATAAATATATACAACAATATCACTGGTCAACACATTTTTTTAATTAATAAATTGGATATTGATTTTTACAGCAGATCTGACTTTAAAAATTTGACTTTTAGTCTGAATTTCAGAAAAAATCGATTAAAAGATGGTGGCAAAAACGATATTTAAGCCATAATTGACGACCAGGCAGGTTTTCTTGTGTGCTTGGTGGGATTGGCAAAGAATCATTCTCAGCTCCGGCTGCTCCTCTACTGCCAAATTCTAAATACTGACATATAAGAACGACTGAAAGATCAAACCAAAGACTAAATCTCTATTCATAGAGACTTGAAATTTGAAAGGTGTGTTTTGCGTATTACGTTTGCAGCCGGTAAGTATGAATTTTCCGGGAAGGGGACCGATCTATTTGAAAAAAAAATCGTGTTTATTTTTAAAACGTTTCACTTAAACGACATTTGATACAGAAGCAACTAACTGCCACTTTTTGCGCGGTAGTAGGTCTGAGGCCGATATCTTCAAAAAAAAAAAAACAAAGCTTTTTTAAATCGTTTGATTTACATGAAATTGGGTATAGAGGTAACTCTTACTCTGAGCTGCTATGGAGAGCATTTTTTCTCTAGGGAAGTAGACCTGGGACCCACCTATTCCAAAATATTCTATAGTGGTAGTTTTGACTCGAAATTACCATTGTTAACATTTTTTTTCTGCCGACAAGTAGACCTGAGTTCAATTCGATGGTTGGTATTTGCTTAATTCATTTATGGAACAAAAAACATAAAAAAACCATCAGCCGTTCGGAGGCAAATCCACAAATTGGGGCAAGAGCTCGTACGAAAATCACTTAAGTGGTTACAAAACGCTATTTATATATAAAAAAATATAATATAAATATATAATAGCTTTTAAATTATTATAAAATTAATAGTTTAATAAATCCTATTGGAACCATTTTAAAATTCCATGCGGATATAGTCGCGGACAAACTCTAGCAACATAAAACGGATAATTCTATGATAAATAAAGCCTGCAATTGCATACAATAATATTGGATTATTTTTTACTAGGGGAAGACTTTAGTATATAGCCTGTAGTTGATCTTTATGAAATGGCGAGGAATGGTAGTAAGAGGTCTTCAATTACCAAAAATAAATAATAATAATATTATCGCGCGCAAATTCATAGTTTAAAAGTTATCAACATCTAAAGTTACACTATTTATATACAGGTAACCTGCTCCTGTTTTACTTATAAAAGCACTAACAACACTTGGCTAGGGAGGCGTTGCCAATTCAAATAATCTACAAATTAACAATAAATATAACATTTCATGAAAAAAAAACCACAGGCTCCAAACTAAAGTCAACCCTTTACTAATATAAGTGAAAATCGTCAAGACCGTGATTGTATGGTTATGATTTCTACAAAAAAAAAAGTTTGAAAGCAACTGAAATATACAGTCATTTTTGTTTTTGCTACCATGAAACTGCATTAGCTTCTAAAAATATATACTTGTAAACTTCACTTCTCACTCCTTTTTTTTTTTGGTATTACAAAATCACTATTTGGAACATTTTTGCATTTAAAAATAGTAAAACAAAAGAAGCAAAAAAATATAAACTAATAAATAATTTCGACACTTCCCGTGCACAATGTATGAAGCAAGTTAAATTCGCTGTCGTAGTAACCTCAGCTTGTTGAATTTGCCTTGTATGTAAAAATGTTGCCTATAACTTATCGTAATCCTAAATATATCCCATATAATACCAAAAAAAAAATCGTTGTTGATCAGGGTAAACAACTATCATAACGGTATAACGGCTTTATACAATAAGCGATAACTATTGAAAATATCAGTTATTATTAGCCACACATACACAATACATACCACAATCAATTGCTACGCACCTCATAGAAAATCGTTCAATCAGCGAGAGATTAACACAACAATACGGAACACATGCACTGCGGTAGTGAATTTATTTATTTACTTAAAGTTTGTATGTGCGAGTATGTGTACATAAGCTAAGCTAACGCGAAAAAGCTGTATCGCTATATCAGAAATCAAAAAGAAAAAACTCCCCCTCTTTAAAAGCTGTACAACGCGCTCTGCTAAACAATAAATTTATTGTTGATATGTACGTCTCATATAAAAGCGCTGGGCAATGCTGAGCGATCATTCATTGCTAAATGAGCGTGCGGCGTTAAAGCAACGACGGTGGTGGTGCGTAACATACAAACATAAATTTGGCAATAACAATAGAATACTTTTTTTTAATGAAACTCGGAAATATTCGGCTTGTAGTTCAGTTCATGCATACGTTTGTGTAAATAATCAAATACGCTACAGTTGTATTGGTGCAGCGGTGAATCCCCCACATGACGACAGCAGCATAAAACATTTAAGTGCAGATGTATGAATAGCAATAAAAACTACATATGAGATAATAAAAAAACACACAGAAAAATATTGAAAGAAGCGCAAAACCTGTGTTAATGTGAATATATTTAGAGCATGTTGCGGACATACATATGTATGTATATACTACTAGGAAAAAAGCAACAAAATAAACGATTCGCATGTGACAATAAGAAAAACAAATAAATAAAATAAATAAACTGGCTTCATATTAATCAAAACAGTTTGTGTTAAATAAATACGTAGAACATTAGCAAAGTGCTGATTGATTACTAAACACAACTACAATAACAAATGTATAACGTTTGACAGCCGACAGATAGAGAAACCGTACAAGGTGTTAATGAGTGTCAGTGAGGTGACTTTTTTCGCAACAACAAAACATTTGCAAATTGAACAAAAAAAAAAAAAACAAGCAGAAAAATTTGTTAGAAAATAAAGTGAAAATTTGCAAATCAAAAGAAACACTAAAAGAGTGCGCTTGGTTGTGAACTATAGAGTGTAAAATAAATTGGTAAACATTTAATAACACATAAAACAACTACATACAATCGAAATGGGCATCGCAGTGAACGATCCAGAAGATCCTGCCGGCTATGATTGCGCATACGAAAGAAGCAAAGAGCAAAAAGCAAGAACATGTAATTGTGCCTGCAGCTGTGACAGCAGAAATGCTAGCAGTAGCAGTAGCAGCAGTACAGCAAACAGCAGCAGCAGCAGCACAACAAGCAATAGTTGCTGTAGCAGTAATAACAACAGTCATAGCAATTGCAAACACATCGGTAACACGCTCACACTCACATTCGCCAACAACAATAGTTACGGTCCGGCGTGCAGCTATCAACATAGTAAAACGGAAATGCTAAGCACACCCTCGACGTCAGCGCCAATCACACGTCCAACTCGAGACTTGATTGGCAATTCGAAGGAATATCGTATAGAGAGTAATAAAAGTGATTTGCGCATCATTGGCAATGGCAATCGGATACGTATCGGTTGTAATCAGGGTAATTTACAAATTATCGGCAATAATACAAGACTGAAAATCACAAATAACACCGGCGGCATACGTTATACGGGCAATGAAGGACGCATATGTTTGGGTAGTGATTCGACACAACAAATAATCGATTACATAGGCAATAATGGCAAATTGAAAGTGGTAAAGTCGTCGGAAATGTTAAGTGAGCAAAGTAAAAGTCACAAACAAAAAATCCCCAAAGAGTTTGGCAAGACGGAGATGACAGCGAATACGGAGAAAACTTATTGTGACGCGTCAGCAAAGGTCAATATTATTGTGGATAGCGGCGTGTCCGCGACGGCGGCAGCGACGGCAACTGCGAACAGCACGGCATTTCCGTCGTATTCAACACCGAAAAAGGTTAAGGTGAAATCAGCTTCCTATGGCGGCGATTATAGCGCGCAATGGCGTCAATTTAGTGAGTTATTCGAAAAACATGGTTGGCGTAATTTCGCTAGCGCATCAATGCCGAATTTGAAGAGTGAAAAGGTGGCGAAAAATAATATTGGCGATGGTAAAAAGGCTGAGCAAAGTACTAAGCATAGTAAAAGTAGTAGAATTAATGCAAAAAGCTGTAAAATTGATAGTAGTATAAATGTAGTAAGTAATTATGGTAATATTTGCATTAAAAATGCTGTAAATGTTAGTATGTAAGCCAGGAGATTGAGGTTAAAGTTAAAAAATAAATTCTTTAAGCACTATTTAAAATATACAAACATATAAAAGAGTGTATAATTCGAAATTGTTAAATTCAGATTTGGGTTGAAAGTAGAAAAATTTGAAGTTGTTTGCAAAAATAGCTAAAATTTTGTTGAAAAAAGATTAAATTATAAAATAGAGTATCAGCTACCAAATTCAGACCAAAACAATAGGTAGTTAAAATTGGTTCAAAACGAGTATAAATTTAAAAAATTAGTCAAAAATTGGCTTAAATATATAAAAAAATAGTACGTTAAAGTAATAGCAACAAAGCTCTCTATATAAAAGATTACAAATGACATGCTCGAAACAAGAGAATGAGTCTTAAAATATTTTTACTGAATTAAATACACATGCTAGTGCTTTTGAAGGTGGTTAAGACATATAGAATATTTGAAAAATTAAAAAATAATAATAACTTTCGAAATATGATTTTTACTGTATTAAATGCCAACAATACCTCTTGCCTAATGTTTCTAAGCTTAGTTTAAAATTATATTTTTAACAAAGTAGGCAAAATAGAAATTATAGACAAATTAATTAAGCTAAAAAGTTGCTTAAAACATGTTTAACTAAAAGAAAATATTTATTTGAGTAAAAAGGCTTACAAAGAAACTTATGACTACCTCTTAAGTCTCTCTAAAATAATTTTAATTTTTTTTAACTACCAACTGTTCCTAAAAACACCTAGAAAAATATAGTCAAATTTCAAGAAAAAAAAAATTAAAAAAAAATCAAATGAGTAAATGAAAACACTGAAGGTATTTGATTAATACGCTTCAAAGAAAAGTATTATGGCAATAACAATATCTTTAAGTGCATATATATTTATGTAATACTAACAATGGAACAAAATTGTACAGCATATATTTATCTATATATTTGTATGTTTAAAAATCTGATAAATAACTAATGCAAATTATTAGCTAAATAATAATTTAAAGCAATTGTTTATATTATTTTTTACTTATATTTAGAAAAAAAAACATTTTTTATATAAAATATTTAATATAAACATGTGGCAAGACAAACAAAATATTATATCATTCTATGAATGATTTGTAATAAAACAAACTTTCTATGAATATCTTATTGCTTGTTTATTATTTAATGGATTTTTTTTAATTAATTTTTGAACATTTTTTTTTATTGGAGTTCCATAAAAATTTCATACAAATAAATACTTTTACTAAATAATATTAGGAAAAAAATTATTAATTAATTAATCATTTTCATTACATTTAAAGCAAAGTCAGAGATTCTAAATTAAATGAAAGAAAAATTTTTTTTTAAGCTGAAATGAATATATGAATGTACATATGTATATGTATATGTATGTATATGTATATGTTATATGTGTGTACGCTTTGATGAGAATACTGCGCCTGTTAGCGATAAAAAAAAATTACACTCTTCTACGAAAAACATACTTTAACATTGGCCCTACAGTAAAAACATCCCCAAATTCATCAATTCAAACGAAACAAACGGGTTTCACACTAATTTTGATAAGTGTGAAGCGAATTTATGGCCTTTCTTTGCAATTACGTAACAACGAGCACACAGCAGGTTAAAATTGTAACTGTAAATTGCTCCTGTTGTTAAATACAAACATAACAAAAAAAAAGATGGAAGTTGAAAGAGGAAGAAAAAATTATTTAAACCATATTCTGCAAAATTTTAAATTCTTCTTCTTCTTCTTTTTCCGCATAGACACGGCTTGCGCTATTATAGTCGAATTAAAAACAACACGCCACTCACTTCTGCTTCGCTTGACCAACTTCGTTTGTTCAACTTCTTCTCCATATGAGTTTTCCAACTGATGGGAAGTCATGTTGTTGTTGTTGTTGTTTTTGTTGCTGTTGTTGTTAGGGACAATTTAATTAATCTAAGTCACCGAGATCATCTACTGGGAGGTCCAGAAAACGTGTTGTTTCGACGGTATCGGCATAGAGAGAGAGAGGGGAGTTAGATGTGCCGGTTTAAGGCGGCATATCAAGGGATGGTTAGTGTCGTGCGGAGACTCTCCACATGCAAGACTGAACGTCTTGCTCTCTTCGGCGTTCACCAGCGGTAAGAACTTGGGCAAATGGTGATCAGCGTGTTTCCGATAGGCCAGTTTTATTTTGCCATCAAGTGGGTTTTACAGCGACCTGAAGCAAATGGTAGTCAGGCATAGTTCGTTTTTTGCTTAGTGGCTGCTGTGACGCTTTTTTAAAGAGCATATGCATATGTATATGGATAATGTTGAGAATCTGTACCGCGACCTTAGGTGTATTGTGTCCTCTGTAATACTTTTTACAATTCTCCGTGTAGCCCAAGCGCCTTTAGGCATCCCATGAGACATAGGAGGGTCATGGAAATAATATAATTGTGGTCAGGCTGTAATGATTCTATATATATTAGCCTGCATCTTGTTACCGCTTCCCATGCTTTTATGAGATGAATCGATATTTTTGATTTCTTATATAACAATAGCGGTCTATGTAATCGCAGCTAATGCTTAGTTTGCACATACGGCATCGGACTCTGCAGTGTCCTGTCAGAATACCACAAATAAGCTGGTTAAACGTTGAGAATAGAACTTAGCCGGGCTATATTAACTCATAACGCACAGTTTTGTACCGTTCTTTGCAGCAATTGGAGTCGTATACCAGCAATAACGCGCTAAATATACTCTTCCGAGGAGTCTATCGTGTTGAGTTTATCAGCAACGACAAGTGAATTCACATAACGCCACTAAAATAATCCAGTGGTGTTAAATCCATCGTTCTTGGAGGCTACGCTACAAGCCTACGACGCGCCATAACGCGCTCACCAAAAGTTTCCTACAATAAATTGATTATTTCCTTGGTGGTATGCATATATGCAGCGCGGTCTTGTTGCAACCAGAGTTTGTCCATATCAACATCTTTCAAGTTAGGTATGAAAATGACATTAATCATGGCTTTATAGCGTTCCTAATTGACTATAACATAATGGCCGGCTTCATTTTTGAAGAAGTATGGACTAACAATATTCACCACCTTCCCTTATAGCACACCAAACAGTGACTTTTTGAGCATGTAACGACGTGCCAACAATGGACTGTGGATTAACATCTCACCAAATGCGTTAATTTAGTTTATTAACGCAACCATTCAAACCAAAATTGAGCTTCATCGCTGAACAAAATTTTGTTGTTGTTGTATTGGTCGACATCGCGCGAAGCGCTTGATGGGCGTTTGAATGAAATTTTTGCACGAGTTGGACTTTTATAAGCTCGAATACCAAAATCCTTCGACAATATCTTCCATAAAGTGCTTAGGCACAACTCCTGTTGTTACGCGCGATGACTTATGGAATCATTCGGGTCTTAATCGATACTTTTCTCCACAGTAGTTATGTACGGCGTCAATGAGGATACAGATTATACACTGTCGTAAAAGTGGTGTGAAACCGATCTAGGGTTGGCGACTTTGCTGTGCGATTTTATCGGTCGAATATTGGACGCGAACCGAACCAATATTTTGGTAATAAATTTTGCACGTTTTGCACACGTTCATTTTTCATGATAAATATCGTAGAGATGTGTCATACATTTTTTTTTGTTTTTTTTTTTGTTAAAGTATTTGTTAACGGATATGCTAATACATACATACGAAAATGTAGTGACTTGTGAGTAGCATGCCATTTTAAGTATATGTATTTAATCATTCTTTTAATCTCAGAAGTCGACAAGAATCGACAAGAATACAACAACAGTTTCCTTAAATGACTATTTAAAAATTGTATACATAAATATGTACATATACATACATATGTATATATTTATATGTATCTACGTATCTACAATAGAACAAAGCATTGTGATGATGTCATTTGGCACATTTGGCATGCAGACTTATTGGAGCTCATAAATTTAGGCTGAGCATTTCTTACTTGTCTGTTAATCGCTGCGTTCCAATTGCGGTTTTTTACTGCGGTATTCCGGCTGTGCGGACTTTCATGAGTAGCTTTCATTTCATGTCAGAAATACATTGGGTGGATTTGACATTCCATGCCGAGGGGCGACCTCAATTAGAAAGCTCGAATTTCTATAATGTTGGATGTTGCTCGTGGCAGGACTCGAACGTTGGACCTCAGATTGGCACTACGCAATGCTAACAACTCGGCCACCAATAGTCAGTTCGCTATGACCAATGAGTAATTTTCTACAAATATGTGTATGCTTGTACGTACATATGTAGGTGCAATGTAGTAAAGGGTGTATTTTATGAACGTATTTTGACTTTTTTCAGAGTCGGTCCCTTTGATTTATACGCCGTGCAGTTTGCCATTGCATAACGAACAGACTTACGCCGGAACAACGTTTGCGCGAATCATGAAAATTTATGACCAAAATGATAGTCCAGTTCGGGAGATGCAAGGCGCAACAATGAATGGATCGGCTACGCACCACAATTACTCTAGCGGATAATGCGCACCAAAGACGGCGATGTTGCTGCTAAGGGAGCAGAGTATAGAGGAAGACCCGAATGAGTCTGAGCCACCGCGAGCAACCAAACCAGCATAGCTCCAGCCCTTCCACTTTATGGAATATTTTCCGCATGGATCTTGGTTTGCGGACTTACAAAGTACAACTTGTGTAAGAATAGAATGACCATCAAATGCAGCTCACTTTTGGTTGAATGGGTACTGAGTTAATATAAAAAATTGTCGCATTTGGAGTGATGTTAATCTGGAAGTCATAGTTGGGACGACGTTAGATCCACAAAAAGTCACTGTTTAGTGTGCACCAGCATATATTTCTTCAAAAATGAAGCCCACTATAATGTTACAGTCGATGGTGAACGCTTAAGAGCCATGATTAATGACTTTTTGGTGCCTAATACCGGGATGTTTATGTGGACAACCTTTGGTGCCAAAGAGACGGCTTCCACAGCCAAAAAAAAATCAATTTATTGAAGGAAACTTTTGCTGAGCGCGTTGTCTCGCGTTGTGGACCTGTGGGGTCGTTCGATTTAACATCGCTGGATTCTTTTTTGTTAGGTTATGTGAAGTCGCTTGCCTACGCAGACCGAGACTGAAACCATTGACGTTTTGGAAGATCGTTCTTTTTTTTTATTGAAACCCACATGTCTAATGAAAACACCCTTTTCAATTAAAGCAATTACTATTAACTGCATGTGTCTGTTTTGCGAAAAAAGAATCGAATTTTTTGTAAGTAGGCAATGTCATTGTGAAAAGTCCCCTTCTTCTGTGCCTACATGTGCATGGTATGTATGTAGCTTTGCAATGTAATTTCTCTTTGCTGTAAACAACGCAAATAATTTACTAAGAAACCTATTTTTTCATTACTCCAAATTAAAGAGCCTACAAAAATCCATATATATGTCCATATGTATGTCATCTAATTGGAAAATAATTACAGGAAATGTTAAAAACTATATAAGATCGTCTCCGAAAGGCTGACGGGTGCTGGTTAATTGTTGATGTGGCTCAATTATGGAACCCTGATCGAGTGCACATAGGTTTGCCGGCCCGTTCTGATACATATACAGCATTGTTGATGCTAGCTCTAGACAGTAGGCAGTTCTGGTAGGCAGTCGATATGAAAATGGTCAAGGAAACGATGTGAGGATGCGCTGAGTGCTGGGCAACGTCAGAGGTATTGATCTACCAACTGCTCCTCGTCTATATCTCTGCAACTGCGAGAGAATTCATTAGAGAATTATTGACCCATCATACTATCAGGAATCGCCAAAAAAACAGTTATTAAGCTCATAAATATGCTGTTTAAAAGTAGTTATCTTCTTTGCGATCAATATCCAAATATATTTAGTAACATTACATGCAGTTCAAAGCCCACTGAAAGCCAATCTGAGCGGAAATTTGCTAAGGAAAGTTGTATACCAACTTCGTGTACAGCATTTACCATGGTTAGGTTTGTTCCTCATCCAGCTAGCTCGTCGGCCTCACAATTAACTTGGAATTCTCTGCTTCTGACGATCCCAAACACAGACGATTCGCATAGAGGCATCTTATTGCCATATTTGAGGTGGAGTGGTTGCTTTGAAGCGGCTTAATGGCGTTTTGGTTGTCTGGAATATATTGTGTTGCGTTGATTTGCAATTGCAGTGTTGGGTAACGACGAACCGACTTCTATTATTGCAGTTAGTTGAGTTTCAAAGGCGCTGATGTTGTGCTCCGTGCCAGAAGTATACTCAGATATATTAAGACTCTTTCCCGAGGGGCGATCGCTCTAAGCATTAGATGTTGATTGGCTCAGGGCTCGTAGTTATTTCTCTTAATTTTTCAAGGTGGAGTCATATTTCTCCCAAAGATAATGTGAATTTTAATACTTTTGTCTGTGTCAAAGAAATTTTTAGCTGACGAAAACTAAGAATTAAATAGTCGCACAATGCCAATTGGAAATACTGGATACATCGAGGGCGCTTTTCTCCAGGTGCCTTCAACGGTGAGTGCTACATCGAAAATTTTCATAGCTGGAGCCTTCTTATCCATCCGGACCACATGATTTACTGATCCATGTGATTGTGGCCGTGTGTCTGTACAGTTCATCGCACCATCGACTGCGTAAATTCTGGCACGCAGAGTACCATAAATCTTACGCTAAAGTTTAGCTTATTTCGCAAAGGGCGGACTTTATTTTTCCATTGCCTGCTCAATCCAAAGTAGCAACTGGTGAGTGATTTTGTGTGGGTTTTCAAAGTTGGCGTCATTGCTGGTATTAATGCTGCTTCCGTGGTAGACGATGCTATCTACGACTTTAAGGTTATGACTATCAAAAACAACGTATGATCCGTGGAGGGAATCACCTTGTCTAAAACTCGATAAAACCTTATATGCGATAATGAGGAGGCTTATCCCAGGTTAATTGGCGCAGACTGTAGCGTCCCTCTGTTTGTGCATTGGACAGAGTACACTAACGTACCAAACATTAGGCATGCTATCACCCGATTACATATATTTTGCATAACCTTATCAGATTTCGCCGACGTATCAGTCGATAAATTAACTCTCTGGGTCCTACAAGAGTTTACTGTAGTTTTGAAACCTTTTGAAAAAATATAAAGTGGTCAACAGCTATGGGTCTCATATGAAGGGTTCTACGCGCTAACGCCAATATAATGTGCCAGTCATTATTTCCGATGTATTTGAGGTTCTTCTCTCACTGTATATCCTTCAGTGAATGCGATTAGCAAGAGAGACTTGCCCCTTCGGGTTTGCGTCTCAAGAATTTAGGCATGGTAAAGCATGCCTGTCGTAAGAGACGAGTAAAATCCAATATTTCCCCGACAGTCGGCTCATTATACCGGAACGATCCCTATTTTTATCCGATCAAGGACTGTTACTCCTTCAATATTCTCCAAAAATAGGAATTTTTTTACGTTTACAACAACAAGAAAAACAACAGCAAAATTTGCTTGTTTTCCCTTGCCCATGGCATATCGGTAAGACATTCCATCTTACACTGAACCATCTGTCAGCCGCTTCGAAAATTTCATTGTGGCTCATTGTGGTTCCGTAGCCAAGCGGATGCTGCTTCTGGCAAACTTATCAATATTCTCTTTATTTTTCTTGGCATGAGCTTGCACTTTCCTGCAGTTGATTCAAATATATGGAGGTACTCAATATTTTCAATAGTGGGCCAATTGGTATTTCATGGAACTGACCTTGTTGTAGTGCGAAAATTTAATATATTTTTTTGAGATAATGAAATTTCCGGCGTATTTAAATAATACATTTTTGTATACATGTATGTACTTATGTATGTATGTTTGTATATACGTGTATACTTTTGTTAATACTTTTAAATAACTGTTTTTTTTTGTAATGCTTTATGCAAATTTTTCAGCCGTTTTTTAACAATGATTTTGCTTTTTTGGGTATTTTTTTCATATCTTTGTGCGATTGACAATTTTTAATTCCCTGAAATTTTGATGATTTTTGTTGTTTGTTAATCTCTTTGCTTTTACTAAAAGCACTTAATCATAACTTAGTGATTTACCTGTGTTCAATGTATATGTATGTATACATATGTATTTATTCTCGACCTACATACATTCGTGGAAAATGTCAGCTGAGCCTACATGCATCACTGCTTGACCTTTAAAACTGTACACGTAACTGTCGGGCCAGCCGCAGCGAAAAAAAGTACCAAGTAGAAGGAGGCCAAATGTCGAGTAGGCATAGTAGTTGTTGAAAAATTACATATTAACAAATTACAAAATAAACAATATGTAATCAAAAGTATTATTGCATCAGAACATTTAGTGAGTAGAAATAAGCAGATGAACAGGAAAGCATTTTTACCTTAAATTTTAAACGATTTCACTAGCCGGTATTTAATCAAAGCATACTTGTGTTGTAGCTTAGCATAAAACCACCTTAACGCGGCATACATACATACACACAGCGAATAAGTCATTTCGCATGTTGAAAGAGGTAACACAGGTCGTTCATTAAGTTTATTTTTGGCACACGGCACAGTGGGCTTTAATTTATTAAAATTTAATTTCACACACCAACATCCACTTTTTTAATCGATAATACACTAGAATCGTAAAAAAAAAATTGTTAAAAAATAATATTTTCATTTCTATATATTATTGCTTATTACTCAATTATGCGCACATAGAGCTCTTACATTTGACTTCAACTTAAACTAATTACCATATCCGAACCATACCTTAACAGCTCAACCAACAAACTTAATAGGTAACACTACTTCCGATTATTTGTTGCCATATCATAATTCCATGTCCAAAAACCATAGTCATAGCTACCAATGGATTTTTTTGTTTTTTTTTTTTGTTTGTTCGCCGCAGCAACAGAAAACTGTTTTACTTTGTTTTTTTTTTTTCAAAGCAAAAAAAACGAAAGCATTTCGGGAACATTGTCACCTATTTATCGGAACTTTTTTTATCGTTAATAAAAAGCAAAATTATTTTAATTATTGATCTGCTCGTTTGCTGAATATTTTCCGAAGCAGGGATTTCGTGAAAAGCGGCGGAAATGTGTAACAGGAAACGTGGGAAGCGTGCGAGATTTTATATTTGATTTCTATTTATCTTATTCCCCCTGTACGTGGTTCTGCAGCTTACTCAAAGCCAAAACCCGTTTGATTGACTTTGAGTACCGTTTCTAATTGTACTTGAGAAAACGTGGCGTGATTAGAATTGTCTTGTTTTATTTTTTCGGTTTGCACTCTTTGTCTAAAAATCTGCGGTATTAAATTTTTGTGCTATCAAAACCCACTGTGCGCCGACGAGGTCACGCAACTCTGTTGCCATACAAAATATTTCGGGGATTTTAATTTTGTTACTGTTTATTTATTTTAAATAACTGCATATATATATATATATATATATATATATATATATATGTTTATATATTTACACAAGTCCAAATGTGCGAATAATAAGCGAAAGCGAACGCAGAAGCGCATTAGACGTTAATGTTTATATAAATATGTTATTAATGTATGAGTTTGTGTGTCTTGTGTGGATGCTTGCAAACATTAACCGGCCTTTGTGAGATTTATTTGTTGTTGGCGATTTATTCTATTTTTTTTTTTGTGCTGTTGATCGAATTAATTATTTTCATTTACTTTTTGGTCTGCGAATTCGCGCTGGTCTCGTGCGGGAATATATTCATATATTGTGTATTATACATATCCATTATATAGTCATATTAATATCTACATTTGTATGTATATGTGCTACATGTGTCTACATTTATGAATTAATAATTAATTGTTTTTCTGGTTATAAATAGCTTTCTATATTTAGTGATATTACCATAAATTCGAAGTGAAAATTAATACATACAAATCTTGTTCATCTACTTTTGTATGCATACAACATACTTACTTACATATTCATTTATTTGAGTGGTAAGTAATATTTTTAATATATTTTTAATGATCGCAGTATACTTAATTTTAATAAATATTTCTATTATTATTATTATTTACATTACTCCAAAAATATGTATATAATTGCGTATCCACAAATTTTGTAGGTAATATTTATTGAATTACGATTTTGACCTTCACTAGTTCATTGCACCAAAATGTTTTGTCAATTATCTTAAATAATTGAAAAAGAAACCCGCGTTGAATAATTATTTTTTTAAATAGCCGTCATATAATTTACTTACATACTTCGTTTTCAAAATGGCACCAATAACATATAGTTATGCATGTACTATGCATACCTATTTGTTTAAAATGTTCAAAATGTTTTTAATGCCCGAACGCGATTTTCGGGATATTTAAAATCATTTTAAGTTTCTTTTGGTAAATTCGACAATAATAATCTCTTCGAAATGGGTTTTGTTATTGAAGAAAATTATCACAATGATATTCAAGTAAAACCAGTTGAGCGAACAGCCTTAACATCTTTTTAACTAATATACAATATATAATTAATTAACAAAAACCAGACGAAATTAGGGAATCTAAATGTTTATACACATACATATGTATATGCCTATATGCAGAAAAAAAGCACTAACTTCTAGAAGAAAACATAAAAATAAATAAATAAATATAATTCTTCAAATATTTCATGAATAAAAACGTTTTGTGAAGTTCGGATATTCATAAAAATACAAATATGAAGAATAAAAATACAAAACAAAATATAAGAAAAATAACGTTCGTACGTGTTTTCCACTTCCACTTCCTTTATATGTATTTTCACAATAGAAAGCGAAGACACAAACCATAGCTACAGTTTTGATTAGCTAAAGAAAACTGATTTTATTAGTATTTACCTATATTTAAATGTTACGAAAATTATATTAAATAACAATGTATTTGTATATATGTAGTTACACCAGAGTTGTTGAAAAATGTGATTTCGTAAACAGTTTATTTATGTGAAATTAATTTTTGGTATTATTATCGTATTATGTATTTCATAACCCAGCAGTTTCTATGCTTGAAATAAAAAACATATAATAACAGCAATTTGCAATTGTTCAACGGTCTTAAATTCATACTGACAGAATTCTACTATTATGATTATATAAACTAATCTCTACTATAATTTGCAGAAAGAAAACCAATAAATTTAACAATACAACATATAAATTGCAATTTTATTCCAATTCATATTTCACTTTATCGTATCTCAGTTATTCAACATCCATTTTCGGTAATTTTACATTCTTATCCTCTTTACATTTAAGTTCACCAATACTATTATCCAGCATATCATTCCCGCTACGTAAATTCTTTACATTACCAACATTAGCATTGGCAACTGTTTGGTAAACACTTAAAGCTTGTGTAACAAGTGCCGTTACGTCGCCAGGATTTGATGGCAGTATGAGGGTGTTATTGGTTTTCGCCAAATTTCTAAATGCATCAATATATTGCTCAGCCAATGTGAGTGATGCCGCATTTTTACCATCTAAGTCTTGCAATGATTTAGCCACAATTTGTAGTCCACGTGCACGTGCATCGGCAACGGCTAACATCGCTGCCGCTTCACCACTCGCCTTATTAATTTGTTCTTGTCGTTCAGCTTCGGAAGCGAGTATACGGGATTTTCTCTTACCCTCAGCAATATTGATTTCTGCTTCGCGACTACCTTCAGACTCCAAAATGGCCGCACGTTTACGTCTTTCTGCTTCCACCTGCATTTGCATAGCTTCGTGTACACGTGTAGGTAATCGAATATCACGGATTTCGTAACGCAAACAAGCAATACCCCATGCTTCACTTGCCTTATTAATCGAGTCGACTATGCTGACATTGAGAGATTCACGCTCACGGAAGACCTTATCTAATGACATTTTACCCAATTCCGAACGCATAGTTGTCTGCGCAAGTTGTGTTATCGCAAATTCCGGATCTTCTACACCATACGAAGCGCGATAAGGATCGATGATACGTAAGTACAAAACACCATCTATGCTGAGTGTCACATTATCTGATGTAATTGCGCTTTGTTTGGGCACATCAATTGCTATTTCCTTCAAACTTTGTACATATTTGATTTTATCAATGAATGGTACTAATATATTTAGACCGGGTTCCATTATTCTATGAAAACGACCCATACGCTCCACTATCCACGCCTCCTGTTGTGGCACAAACATCACTATTGTATTCATTGGTGTGGATGCTTTGGTACGGCTTTGTTGTATGAGCTGACGTCCATTTCGTAGTAACAATGATTGATGATGTTGCTGGGATAGTCGTCCAGCGGTGGTTACAAAGGTACGCAACATCGTCGTAAGAACACTGACTTGGTTGACAAATGAAAAATGCTTGAGTCTTACAGCAATAGAGGCAACACTGCAGAAACAACGTTTTATACATTAATATACAATGGAAAATTATCCATAATACCTTTTTAATATGGATTATTTGCCTTATTATTTAATTTTGAATCCGTTTCGTGTAATATGCTTTTTTCGCCAAAAACACTTGCTTTCATGCCGATTTTCGGAATGTCATAACCAGCAAGTGTCAAAATAAGAACAGCAGTTGCAATTAGTGGCCCTCAGGAAAAATTAAAGTAAAATTTAAAAGTTTTGAAATGTGCGTTAAATTTTTGAGCAATATTCAAAATTAATGTAAACCTTAGAGAGGTCTCATACAATGTTTTCCCGGCTTAAACCACACCATTTAACGCCATGGAATTCTTAAATTTTAGAGTTGATTTAATTTGGAATTTAATTTTTTTCGCGATGTCCGGCATTACTACAACTTTGACAACCGGCAAAAAACCAATATGTGTGCTTTTTATTGAATTTCGAAACATTGTGTTTATTTGCAAATTAAAAGATATTGCTAGACTTTAAACACGGTTTAAATTGCAAAATTTGTATAGAAAAGCTCAGTGTAACAAATAGTTTTGTTTATCCCTCACACGTAAAATTTTTAGGGCTGAAACTTGCTTTTGCCTTTACCGCCAATTTGTTTATAAGTGAGGAGAGCACAAGATGTTCGGACAGCAAGCACTTGGTGGTACAACCGCAGCACCTTCCACAAATCGAATGAATGATTTTGAAGTAACAATGCCACCAGATGACTCTGTATCAGCGTTGGAATTTAGCCCCAGTACTATATCACAAAACTTTCTAATAGCTGGCAGTTGGGATAGCAGCGTACGCTGTTGGGAGGTTGAGCAAACCGGAAAAACTGTGCCAAAATCAATGAAAACAATGGGTGGACCAGTATTGGACGTATGCTGGTCGGATGATGGTACAAAAGTGTATATGGCATCCTGTGACAAACAAGTAAAAATGTGGGATCTGGCTTCAGATCAAGTAGTACAAGTGGCAGCACACGATGCTCCCGTAAAGACATGCCATTGGATAAAAGGTTCTAATTATAGTTGTTTAATGACTGGTTCTTGGGATAAAACATTAAAGGTAAATACAAAACATACAGACATAATGTATAAAATTATTCTCAATATGAATTACAGTTCTGGGATACACGTACACCCAATCCATTAATGGCAATAACTTTGCCGGAACGTTGTTACTGTGCTGACGTTGATTATCCGATGGCTGTGGTGGGTACCGCAAATCGTGGGCTCATTGTTTATTCTCTAGAAAATACACCGACTGAATTTAAGCGACAAGACAGTCCTTTGAAATATCAACATCGCACCATATCTATTTTTAGAGATAAGAAAAAAGCACCAACAGGCATGTGGAAAGCTAATAATTTATTTAAAATTAATTTTAAACAAATTTATATAAATATAGGTTACGCACTTGGTAGCATTGAAGGACGCGTTGCCATACAATATGTAAATCCAGTGAATCCAAAAGATAATTTCACTTTTAAGTGTCATCGCACCACCGGCACAGCTGGTTATCAAGATATATATGCTGTAAACGATATAGCCTTCCATCCGGTGCATGGCACTTTGGTGACTGTCGGCTCAGATGGCACATTCAGTTTCTGGGATAAAGATGCACGCACCAAACTCAAGTCTTCGGAGACAATGGATCAATCTATTACAAAGTGTGCATTCAATAGTACTGGACAGATATTCGCATATGCTGTTGGCTACGATTGGTCGAAGGTAGATTTAAATTTTTCAAATTGTGTCATCAGCTCTAAAGTCTTCTTATTTTACAGGGCCACGAATACTTTAACCCAGGCAAGAAACCACAAATCTTCCTACGCTCTTGCTACGATGAGCTGAAACCACGTATTGCTTAATCCTTTTGAATGATCTAAAAAGTTAACAATCGCCACACTGTATATCAATGTAGAGTCAACATATTCTCCAATTGAAATAGAATTTGAAACCGATGCATTTCAGTGAAAAGAAAAAAAATAAACCTCCCTTTAAATTAGTCTAAACGCTTTATTCGGTATTTGAATGCACCGCTACTCACACAGAAATTCTTTACAAGCAAGTTTAACTATATTTTGATGTTATTTAAATGTGAATGTAAAGAGGTTGTTTAATGATGACCACCTTCAGCGTGTTCCCCATCACCATGGCCATGACCATGACCATGGTCATCTTTTGAGCTAAACGCATATTCGCAACCTATATGAATGGCAGCCGCAATTGATCCCCACAGTAAACCACGTAAGAAGAAAGCGCGTGCACGCGTTGCATGTGTGCCCATTGTGCTCGGCTCATAGCGCCAGACTTCATTCCTAAAAAATTATTATTTTTTTATTTAAATAGCATTAAATTACATTCGCATAGGCTTACCTCAACCATGGATCCTTCAAACCTTGTCTGGCTAACGCTTCTTGTACTTCACGTAGCTTAGGTATGTTTTCCACTTTGTAAATTGATGGATGTGGTACTGTGTAGGGTTCACCGTGACCGTGTCCGCCCATGGTTGTTCAAAGCTGCAAAAAGCGTGAAATGTGAAAATATACGAATTGGAGATTTTGGTTGTTAAGGTTATATAATTGTTGACACTTTTTGCTTTGGTAAATATCCTGCACCAAGGTGTTTGACATAAACTATGTGTTATAATTACACCTTTGCTTGCACAAAATAACTTTCTGATACACAAATTGCAAATTACCTATCTTTAAAGTTCGAAAAATGTGCAAAAACACAAAATCTTTTCGCCAATTGGAAATATTTAACAGCAGAAAACTGCCTACAGAGAACTTATAATAACGAGAAGCACCAGGATGTGCCGATTATCAAATTGGTCCGCTGGCTCGTGTTATGAAAGCGTATTTCAACACACAAATCTGAAAGCGTATTTCACCGCACTCTAACAGTGAGCAGACAGAAATCGTGCTCAAACTAGCAGAATGAGCAAGTTTTTTATGTAAAATGAGAAAATGCATGCATAATAAATGTAAAACTGATAAGCCTATGCAAGATAAATGTTAGAATGCAGAGGGTTATTATCAAAATTTTCTGATATTATCATCTTTTGTTTAGTGGCTTTTAAAAATTTGTAATTTTCATTAAATATTTTTCTAATTTACCAAATCATAACAAAAGATATTTAATTAAATTATTTTAAATATTATTTACTTTAAAACGTATGAGCGTGCGTGCATATATATATATATATATATATATATATATATATATANAATCTAAAAAAAAAAAAATTAAATAATATTTTCCTTTATTTTGATAACAATCATCAAAAAATTCGTTCCCTGAAGTTAACATATAACAATGTTATTTAAATGCTGAGAATTGCATTTGTGAGCATAATTTTTGTTGCTACGCTCAAAATGTTAAGCACTATAGACGAATTCTGTTAATTTCTGTGCCAGTGGTGAAATACGCTTTCATGACTCGACTTCGTTTTTGACAGTTTCCACGCTGGTCCGCAATTGAACCTTCTCTATGTTATAAGTTCTCTGTCAGCTGATTATTATGTTGCCATATTTATAAAAAAGTGCGTCTATCCATAAAAACATTACGCAAAAAAAAATATTTCCATAACAGCCACTATACACGCAATATTTAATCTTAATTCTGAAAACTGTTCTCAAATTCTTTGAATCCGTTCTAAAGAACGTTATAGTGTATTAATGAAATTTATGATGAATCTATTTAAAAACTTGTTATAATTAAGAACAGTCATCAATATTCTAAGTATGTGAAAGACAATGACAAAATTTCAAAGTCAAAACCATAAACTTGATAAAAAATGCAAGAAAAGTTTCTAGCGTGGTATTCTCTACTCCAAGATTGTTCAAATTTTACATCTCGAAACTCTCTCCACTTGGGGTGCTACCGCAGCGATAAGTTCTGGAAATACCCACTCACTTATCTAACACACCTCTCTCTCATGGCTAAGTAAGCTGGACGACAGCGATAAGCTCTACCTGTCTCGGGATCATGCGTCTTTCACAAAGAGTCAGTCAACTCTTTTTCCAGTTCTCTTCCATGGTGTCATCGCCAAAGAGTTTTAGTGTTTCCCATAAGCTCCTAGTGATACTGACAAAACATATTAGCCATTGGAGTCGATTGAAACGCAAACCTGGTTTACTTCTTGAGCTAAACGGGGTTTAGTCGCCGAAAACCGTTGGACAGTATGCATACCGACAGGCTTTGCCAGATGTTCACCGACTTCGTAAGCTGTCTTTTCGTAAATCAAATACTTGGAATCCAAACACCCCCTATTTCAAGCTCGAAGATCTGAGTAAAACTGGCTCACTTAATGGCAGGAGCCAATTTATTCAAACTTGACACCGCAATATCCATCCTATACACCGCATGCCATGAGTCTCCGTATGACTTAGGTCTGGATATTGTAGAAGGTTAAACTCCTACCTATCCAGACTAGACGCCAGCATACCCAACGTATGCCCTGCATTTGGAGAGTCTCCGCACGACACTAACCACCTCTTCACATGCCCTCTCAAACCAACTCATCTAACCCCCCTCTCACTCCAACCCCGTCGAAACAGCTCGTTTCCTGGACCTACTATTAGATGACCTCGGCGACTTAGACTGATCAAACCTGTGCCTAAGCGGGGTTAGCGAACCGCTATAACAACAACAACAACAGTCTCCGCATGACAATCAAACCAACTCACCCAACATCTCTCTCCCTCTGTTTCGAACCCATCGAAACAGCAGGTTTCCTGGACCTCCACTTAGATGACCTCCCCTTAGATGACCTCTCGATGACTCAGACCCGTTTTTTTTTTGACTGCTCCTAAGCGGGGCTTGATAGCTGCTACAACAACAGGAATTTTGCAACGCAAAGTTTCCTCGACAGTGGAACAACAGAGACTTCTATCCGGCCAAGCACTGGCACGCCATCAAATTCATCGAAAATCAATTGGGAATACAAAGAATAAAAAGTCAAACAATTTTTTAATATTTATATATTTTTTATTCAAGTAATTCTAAAATCAATTATTTTTTAGCGTAATTTATAGATTTATTGCATTTTTAATTTTAATTAATATTTTAAATCAATGTCTCTAATATAATTAGATATATATTAATATTTTTATAGATATAGTTTATGCGGATGTATGTGTGTATGCATTTTTTGGGATGGAAATATTATAAAAAAAAATATTTTAGAACTAAAACTCATAAGAAATAAATTTAAAGAGTTTAATTTTTTTTACCGGTTTTTGTTAACTTACATTGGCATGTGTGGTTTGACATTTACACTTGCATATGCATGTATGAGTGTACATTTTCTAAACAGATTTTGAATTTTAATTTGCGCGAATAGTTGGATTGTAATCAATTTTTATTCTTTTAGTGACTTCTGTGCTAAATTTCTAGTAGTTTTCAGACAAAAATAATTCTACTTGTATTTTGTGATTCACAAAAAGTGCTTTCAACGTTTTTTTGAAATTATTCCACACAAATTTTTGTTTAGAAACCTTGGGAAACCTGGGATGTTGCAAAAGGTTTTCGGCAACAAGATTTCGTTGGCAAGAGAGTTTGCTGATATCGCTAAAATTTGAAAGAGAACAGTTCAACACCATTTTGAAAGAGCAACGAGCAAAGGGAATTGATGTCTAAAATAGATAAAAAAAAATAAAATCTCAATACCAGATTTCAAGCGCAATGCGTTGAAGGATAAAACGGAAAACATGAGCTGAAAACGGAAAACCTTACGCGGTTAGATGACCGTGGTGTCGCTGGAATCACAAAATTGTATCGTTTCAAATCGGTCAGGCTGATAAAATCTGTAAGGAGTTTAGTTTGAAGTTATGTGACTGTGGAAGGAGGCAAAATTACTAGTGGACTGGTCTGCAAAAAAGTGGACTGAAGTGTTCCAAATAGTGTTAGGTGATGGCATTCGTTTCAAGAGTAATATTCCAAGTCTTCTCACAACTGCATGCCAATCGAAGCATACCGTTAAAACTATAAAGCATACCCTAATGATGATATAATGGTGCCATATGGACGGGACGAGATGCTGCTAAAACAGATTAACCCGCAGGATATTAAACAAAAAACGCACTTTTAAATCGAAGCACATGGTTTCGTGCCAATAAAATTTCGGACATTTAATGGTCAGCAATCTGCACTGATCTCATGCCATTGGAACTGTTAACAAGGAATATTATTCATTAAAAGTGAACGGATTAATGGCCCTGCATTTATTTCTTTAGTTTAACGGCGAAAAATCAGTTCATATTTTTCGATAACCACTTTATATGCATCTAATTGGACTCCGTGTGACTTGTGGCTATTCAACATGGTCAAAAGTTCGCTGCGATACTTCTACGAATATCGCTGAAGGGATTTTAGGAAACCCGGAGCGATAATTTAAAAAATGTTACGAGAATCGGGAAGAACGCAATAAATAAAAAAATTGTAAAAGGTAAGAAAATAGGTTGAAAAGCATAAATGCACATAGATTTTGAAAAGAGATTTAGAAAATGTACACAGTATGTAATGTATGTATGTATAGATTGTTTTTTTTTATTTCCAAGCAGTTGCTATTATACTTAAACCACAAAAACAAGTTTAATGCGCTATTTGCTCATATTAAATTGAACAAATGTCTATACAATAGAAAATCCAATAATTTTAATTTTTATCAATATTAATTATACATATATTAATTTTTAATTTTATACATATTGTTTCTTATTTAATTTGAAGTTTTTATATTCAAGTAAAAAAAGGCAAAATAAAAAAAAAACATAATTTTATAATTGTCTATTGGCATTTTTGAGACAGTTTCAATGTTTAATAAATGAAACAAAAATAAAAAATCCGAAATACTAAATAGAAATTAGCATTTTCCATGGAGTAGTTAGTTGAACAATGTGGTGAGAATATCTTAAGAGGTGTGTATATATGTGTGTGTGAAAAAATGCAAAAATTACTTTCAATTAAAAATTTGTAATTTGCAATTTTTATCTTTAAGTTAAAGTAATTTTAAATTCTTTCACAACACACACTAGCACAACATCAATACATATGTATGTAGCTATAGTTAACTGCTAAATATTATAGTAATTTTTTTTGTAAATTATTTTGTATGCTTCTTTTTAACTTAAGTGTGTTTTTTTTTTTTTTTTTAAACAACAGTGTAGTGTGTTTGCGTTGAATTATTATTATTTAATATTATTTTAAATATATTATAAGTGTCTAAATACAAATTATTATTATAAACGTGTGGCATACTTTTTGTATTTTTTCATAAAATGTTTTGCAGATTTTTTTATATTTTTTTGTATTTGTTATTTTTATAGCGATTTTTTTTTTAATAAACTTACATAACTACTATTTGTGTCAGTATAGTATACAAATTCTTTAAATATATATATCTTTTAAAAAGTTCTATTACATAAGGAAATTTTTCATTTGTTTGTTTTGTGTATTTTTTATATAATTTTTTTTTTCAATTTTTAATTTTTTTTTTGTAAGATCATTGCTGTTATTCTTATAAAATCTGCTGAATGCGTATGAAAAAATAAGAGCATTTTAAAAATTCAGTTACCGAAAGAAATATTTAAAATAATTTTAACTTTTACATAAATATTGCATATTTTTTTGGTAATAAATAAAAAAAGTATATTTTTTTTCTTCTTCGCCTTGTAATAGGCGAAATTGTGCTAAATAAAAAAGTATTGAAAACAAAAAAAAAAAAAACTTAAGAAGAGTAACAGCAATGTCTTAGTATTTTTTCTTTTCTTTTTTATTTGCTCACACTTACATATTTTAAACTAATTATAAATCACCATAATTTTTTTTATGAAATAAATTATAAGCTGTTTTACATTTCGTTATTTTTAGAGTTTTAAGCAAAAATACTGTGCTGGGAAGCCAATGTGTTTTTTTTTTGTATAATGTTCATGTATTTTTATTACAAAAACAAAAAAAAACTCGCTCATAAATAAAATGAGATTTTTTATGAGAAGTAAATATATAAATTGCAACTATACGAGCAGCTGCCAAAATAATTTTATTTGTAAAGTAAAATTAAAAAAATATATACATATATACATACATATATAAATTTAATAAATCTCACTTTATTTACGCGCAGGTTTCACTTTAAGTTAGTTTTAAAAATGAAATGTTTTAAGCTTTATGAAAAGGTCATTGCAAGTTTTATTTTCTTTTATTTAGATTTAATATTTTTTTATTGATACAATTTTTATTTATTATCTTCGTTTATGCAATAAGTATTTGTTGTTAATAATTTATGTACATTTTGATATTTTGTTGATAAATGTGTTATTAATATTACTTGTTGTTTAATTAAAATTTTTTTGTTTTAATTACTAGCAATTTCTTACGTTAAGGTTCCAACTATGTTAGATAAAATAATAATAATAATAATAATATTGAGCTCAAAGTTCTAAAATATTATTAACAAAGCTGGAAAAGGCGTAAGCACAATATTTATAGTGTTTTCATATATATATATATATTTTTTTTAATTTCATTATTTATTCATCTCTAAGCATACTTCTAGCTGACTATATAATAGCAGTTTGAAGTCTTTATAAACTGAGATCGAAATATTAGTAATAATAAAAAAATAAAAATAACGTTGTTTAGTACTACACTTTGATTTATGGAATTTCGGTTCGTTACTTCAATTATTTTCATTACTTTTATTATTATAACTTGATCTCATTGCAATTCAAAAAACTTATTTTAGTTTTATTTGAAATAAATTCACTTTTAATTGCCGTTTTTAACTTTCAGTTAAAACATTTTAAAATTATTTTTATTAATTGTAAGTCTCTTTAATGCATATTATATTTTCATTTAATTTATATTTTTTATATACTCATTTAATTTATATTTTTTATAACATTTTCATTAATTTTTGTTATTATATTTTAGTTTATTTTAATTTAAGTATATTATTGCTTTTTTAAATTCAGTTTTCAATTAATTTTGTATTGAGTTACATTTTCTTCGATTTAGTTTTTTTCCAATTTAATTTTTATTAATTTTAATTTCAATTTAATTTAATTTCTTTTTTTTGCTTAATTTTCCCATATTATATTTTATGCTATTTTATTTTATATTATTTTACATTATTTTATTTATTTTCCCTTTTTTTATTTTTTTGTATTTAATTTTCCTTTTATTTTAATAATTTATTAGTTGGCTACTTCGTAACGATAAATTTCACGGTAATCGAAAAATTGCTATCGATTCAGTTGAAACATTTAAAAATATTAATATCAGTTATCGAAATAGATTTCTTTCCGTTTTCACAAGAAACTAAAAGCTGTCGTTAATGTTAAATCGTTAACAGATAATGTTGAATGTTTAAATTGAAGTGTGCTGTTATATCATAGAAGGCAGCCATTTTAAAATTAACGTGAGCGATTAATTTCGTTTTGATAACATGGCGCCGAAACTGGACGATTTCTCTTCATGGTGTGAAAGAAAAATTCTTGTTAGCGAAACGAAATGAAACCAATGAGTTTTGTTAGCATCTCTGATTTATTGTTTTTCATTCTATTTCATTCAATTTTATTTGATTTTATTTAATTTTCATTTTATTTTAATTTATTTTATATTATTTTCTTTTGTTTTAATTATTTATTTAACTTAATTTTTTATATTTATTGGATTTTGTTTGTTATATTTGATTATATTAATTTTTCTATTGTTTTATTGTATTTGTTTTTATTTTTATCGTATTTGATTTGATTTTATTTTTTTATTCTGCTTTATATTATTTTATTTTAATTTAATAATTCATTTTAATTTATTGTATTTTGTTTTATATTATTTTCGTTTTTTTATTCTATTTGATATTATTTTGTTTTAATTTATTGTATTTTATTTTATTTTTAATTTAATTTACTTTTATTTGAATTTATTTTATTTTTTATTTTATTTTTATTTTCATTTTATTTTGTTTTTATTTTTTTTTATCTTATATTATTTAATTTTACTTTATTTAATTTTATTTATTTTATTTTATTTTATTTTATTTTTTATTTTATTTTATTTTGTTTTTATTTTTTATCTCTTTTTTTTAGTTTTTTTCATATTATTTTTTTAGTTTTCATATTACTTTTTTATATTATTTTTATTTTCATATTTTAATAATTTTTATTTTATTTTTCATATTATTTTATTACAGTTTTTTCTGTTTGTTTTATTTAATTTTATTATATTATATTACTTTATAATTTGTTTGTTTGAATATTTTTTGTTTACTTTTACTTTATTTTATTTTAATCTCCATTATATTTTGTTTTATATTATATTTTTTTTTTTTCAATATTTATATTGTTTTTATTAATCAATTAATTCAATTTACTTTGTTTTCTTTTCTAATTTTGATTTTGTTTTTTAATCATTTTTATTCGAATATGTTTTACTTTTTACTTTATTTTATTATTTGTTTTTTTTTTTTTTCATTTAATTTTACTGCTTAGAAGCTTTTTTTTGCGATTTGTTATCTTTATTTTATTCTCTCATCACGCGTCAGTTTTTTAAAAGAAAAAAGAAAGATTTTTAGCCACTATGTCACCCACGTTCTTTGATTATTGCTGACTTGAATTGTTTTAATCGATATATTAATGCACTCAATGTCTAAAACGAAAGGTTTTGCTTCAAAAATTTCACAGTCTCACTTTCTAAATATTTTATTTTTTCTATATTTTGTTACATATTTACTTATTTATTGCATAGACGTTATAATTTAATTTTTGTAAAAGATATTTAAAAAAAAGAATCTGACTGCAATTAATTTTCCGTTATGTGATCGATATTTATCGATTTTTTTTTGCTTCTCTGTCACATTGGATTTTATTATGCTTTGAATAACTCACATGTGCGCTAGCATAGTATTTTCATTTAATTCGCGAATTCTTTTCTTAGCAAAGAAGAGAAAATTTAGCACAGATCCATTAGCTTTATAGACATTTTGCAAGTTAAAATGAGAGTCCAATTCACTTTACAACGACTGCTTCGCTGTTTTTTTTTTTGCATTTGCCTTTTTGCATTAGGAAGACATTTTGTATTGTTTGTATTTGTTTACTGAACAATAGTTGTTGGTGCTATAAAGGAAATGAGTTGTTTTCTTTTTCACACAAGACATTTTAAGAGTTAACTGCTCTGTTGTATTTAGCGATATTATCGCTATGAAAATCATGGTGTTCTTTTACTAATGTACCTTTTTTGTTTTTATAAAAAAAAACTTTAATCGTTTTTTTTCAAGCATAATTTTTACACCGAATTCCGGTATTTCGCTTTAAGCTTTACATATTTATACATTCACACATGCTTCAGTTTTATTTTATATTGAATTTTTTATGTATGTATATGTTCATTAATTTGTTGATTGGTGATTTTACATTTTAATTGTTGTTTAGCTTAGTTGCTTTCGAAAAATAAGAAAAAATAATAATGTTTCTTGTCAGTTGAGCATAAGCTTTATATTTAATTATATTTATTTATGAGCTGTATTATTTAATCGCCATTATTTTTATTATTATTAAGTATATTGCATATCATTTTGTGCATATGGTAAAAATTTTGTTGTTAAAAGTTTGTTTTTGTATTAGATTTTTTTTTTTAATTTCAGTTTTTGTTTTTTTATTAATTTTTATTTTGACATTTTTGCTTAAAACACTTTCAAATACTATGCATTTAGAATCTTTTTGGTTGTTTTCTTTTGTTGTTGTTATTTTTATTATGCTTTTCATTATTCCAAATTGCGATTTTTTTTATAAAATTGTTGGGGCTGTCTAAAACCTGTCTCACTTTGTCTATTCATTACAAGATTAATTACATTATGTTATGTTTTTGAATTTTTAATTGTTTTTGTTGTTGTTTTGTTTTTTCTTTGTCTTCCATTGTGTGTTTTATTCACAAGTTTTTGTGATTTTGCCCTCTTACTATGCCCTACATGCCATTTACATATTATAATATTGTTGTTTAGCATAAAATTCTTAATTGCAGAGCACACACATACACACATATATATAGATATACACCCATTTTAGTTTATAATATAGTAAAATAGTATTTATTGCTGCCAAAAACGATGTGCGTATTATTTTTGTTTATACTTTCATTTACACACTCTCTCTACCACTCTCTCTCCCTCTCGTTCTCTCTCGGTTGCACGTCGCTTTGCTTCCAATTAATTTATTATTAATAACTTATACTTAAATTTAGTTGTTCAAACGCTCCTTCAGCCATTCATTCATGCACTTTTTGCAGAATTTTTCAAAAATTTGCCAACAATTTTCATTCATTCCGCATACTCAGTCAATTGTAAGGGTTTTCGGGCTTGGTTTTACGAGGGCTGGTATTTTGTCCATGTTGGTGGTGTTGTTGTTGTGAAATAGTCTACACTTATATACTTTGTATATGTATTTTCCGGTAGTATGGTATGGTATTTGTTTGCCGCGTCTGTTTAACGCCCGCACAAGAACTCTTTGCTAGGTAACGGCGGCTGCTTCCAGCTGCCTGCGCTCTACTTGTGCTTTTAGCAGCACATTCCTTTGCACGCTGGTGGCGTGTGGCGAGTAGCCTCGCAAATTCTTAGATACGCCGCTTAGCGTCGTGTGCACAGCACGCTGCTTAAACGCTGACCTCTTCTGTTAATATATCGTTTAGCAGGCGATTGAGACTGTCCAAACCCGTTAGAAAGCCGCCATCTGGCCCATGATGCACTGGCGTGCTCGACGCTGTCTGTTGCAGCAGCGAACCGCCGCCGTTGCGCGGCACAAATGCGGTATGCGCAAAGTCGATGAGACGCACATCGACCATACAGCGTGCATCCTCACTGGTTGCGGACGCATGACAACCGGCAATGTCCAGCGATTTGGAGGCATGTTGCAGTGTTAAGCGTGCCGCGTTCGCTTTCTTTTTGCTAATGGCATTAGCGTGATTGTTTTTGTTGCCGGTATTGTGTATTTCGTGCATGCCAGAGAGTAGTGTATGCTTGAGCTTATCAACTGTGCTGTTGCTATCAATGCCGGCTGTTGTTGAGGTGGGCGTCATGAGCGGCGTCTTTACCGGTGATGTGTTGACGGATGTTGGCGTGGAGGAAACAGGCGCCGCGCTGCTGCTACTGCCCGCGCTTGCAACTACGCTACTTAAACTTAGTGTTGTTGTTGACTTTTTCGCCTGCGATGAATTTGAAATGGCGTCCTTCTTATAATCGCGCGGGTTTACCTCATCCTCATCGTCGGCGTCTTTGCAACGTAGGCGTTTCACGGCACCGCGTACCGATTTCAGTGATGATGCGGTCGATGAGGTGGGTGAGGAATTGGCGACAGATGCCGGCAGCTTGCCGATACCGCTTGGTGGCAACGGTGGCGGCGTTGAGCCGGCAGAAGAGGCGAGTGCGTGCGGTAAACGCGGCGCTGCACTTATCGCTGATACTGCTTGTTGCGCCACATCGGTCGTTTGCGCCAGTGGCGATATATCGAAAGAGTCCTGTTGCGATTTGTAACGCTTCAGCATGACTTCCGTTTGACCAATTATGCTGCTGTCATAGTCAGAACTGGCCTCGTCCGAGCTATTGTCGCCTGTTTGACGTCCGCTGGTGACAGCTTTGATTTGCTCAGAAAGCCCAGAGAAATCGTCACTGCTATTGCTGCTGTAGTTCATCCAGGAATCGCCTGAATGTGGCGACGATGTCGAGACACTCGGCATTGGCGGCTCGGGATCGAGGAATACTGTTTCTTCGGAGATTGGAATGAATGGCGGATTGACGCTGTTGCCACTGGCGGTAGTTACATTACCACTATCTGCTGACGCTGCTAGTGGTGGCATCAACATCGAATCGATTACTGCTGTCAACGATGCGGGTGAAACAGCGTCAAGACGGCGTACAGGTGTGACCACTTCGTCAAAGTCACGAGACCGCTCCAATGTTGCTTCCGTTAAACCGCGTTTACGACGTGTGGCGGGCAGTTGCAGACCGGTTGTGTTTGTTGTAGAATCATTCGAGGCATCAGCATCATAACAGCAGGGATCACCGCCAGTGCTGCTATTGGTTGCCGAAGCATTACCGCTATCAGCTGCAACCATATGCAAATCATCATCCTCCGTTTCATGTGGTTCCAACTCATCACCGCCATCATGACCGGCAGTGTCATCGTCGGCATCAACAACATCATCATCATCGTCGTCGTCGTCGTCAATATCATCGTCATCGATGCTGTTATCGGGATGATAATCGAAAGTTGCCGACTTTGTAGCCGATTTCGGTGTGGCCGGTGACAGCCACTCCTCAACATCCATTGGATGCGCCTGTGGATTCTCCTCAAAGCCCTCATAAACAATAAGTAGTGAACTGGAAAGTGAGATAAGTGGATTTTAGTATATTTGTTAATTTGTTTTCCTAACGCAGTTACTCACCACGAATAAAAACGATAGCTGGATTGCTTTTCGATAACACGACGCAACTGCAACAGGCGTTGCACAATTTTCCTTATAACGCGTATGCGCAAACGATAACCGTTGTAGAAGAAGTCATGCAAAGCCTGCTTGAAGCCACTCTCGTCCAGTTCACGTCCCCAGTACTTGTCGCGCTTGGCATATTGATCCAGATGCGCCTGATAGGTTTGCATGCCGCATAGGCGTACACCCAACGATGCCGATGTGCTTGCTGCACACTTGGCCATCTGCTTGGAGCGTTTCTCCGCCGAGGCATCGTCGCCATGCTGACGTGTGCCCATTTTCAAATCCAAAATACATGGATTACGAAATTGCGAAGTTATGTTCTCAAGCATTAGGAAATCTATACAAAAATAGCGAAAGTAGGAGAAAGAGAGAAAATTTGTTTTTAATTAAAATAAAAATTATATTAATATTAACATAAGCATTTCATTTATAATTTAACAATATTGCAAATGGTACGAGTTAGAAACGGCAGAAAATGAATAACACCAACAAAGGACACAACTGCTTTAAATACCCGCACAAGCTTGGAACGTGTAAATGTGGACCACCAAACGAGTTATAAATCAGAATCTCATTAAAAAAAAAAAAATAAACAATTTGCACATCAAAAAATAATCAAACAAACCCTATTACTTCTGCGGCCAACACTTCATTTTCTTACATACGTACATATGCACATAGGCAGGCTCCATGCATTTCTACATACATATGGGCATTCATTGCTGAAAATTGTCCAGCAAATGGACAGGCAGGCAGGCATTAAATGACACAGAGCTCTGCATACTCATGCATTTTTTCTATTTTTAGTCTTTCATTTCTGGTGCTGCCATGAATCGATTATTCAGAATCACATTTCCGTTGTCACATTTCAACACCGTTTGCATTTACGACGCAGACAAAGAGGGAAACGGAATAACGGTTTCGGTATTGAAAGAAAAATTTGCAAAAATTGTGTGCGTAATCACATTTATTATGATTTTTGACGACTTCCTTCTCAACAATGTTCATACATTAATTGTCAAAGCTTGCCAATTGTTATCGATAACGACCAAACCGATGTTATTTAAATTTTAGCATGATGACGATTTTATTAATAAATAAATTAATAGAACTCTAATAAAAGTTCTACAGTTTAAATAAAAATCGCAGCCAACATAAAAAAGTTTAATAAAAAATTAATAAAATATTAAAAAAAAAAAATTATTAAAAAAAAACTAAAAATTAAAAAAATAAGAAAATTTAAATAAATTAAAAAGTACTAGGTAAAGAAGATTAAAAATAACTCAGCTCAAAATTGGGTTTTTGTTAAAAAGTTTGTTTACTAACAATTAAAACTAAATAATGTTTAATTAAAAATATAGAATTAACTGTTAGATCGGTAAAAATATCAAAAATTTGGATTTTCCGTGTTATTTTTCCCAATTTTTCTTTTAATTTAATTTTCATTTAAATTGCATACATAAATAATAATCATAGTAATTATGATAATCGTTGACTTCAATTGTTATCGAAAACTATCAAACCGATCTTAATTAAATGGAAAGGCGCTAACATAGAACTCTCATGTTTTCAATTTAAATAACAATAAAAGGCGGCTTGCATATAAAATTTAAAAAAAAAATATATGAAGTTGAAAAAAAATATTCTGTAAAATTATTGAAAAAAAAACTCAGCCAAAATCTATTTTTTGTTCAAAAACTTTCGTTAATTAATAACTTAACCAACAAAAAACTATGAACAACTCTATATGTACAGATAACGGCAAAAAAAATATTCCAAAAGTTTTATTCACAAAATAACATGGTTTTCTAACTGTTCTTTTAGCTATTTTACACAAAAACACCGAATCAGAAAAAAACTTGAGTGTGGTTGTGGATCATAAACTAAAAAAAAAAGTAGTATCCACATATATACGACGAAGCGTTTTAAAGTTCCACCCTAGCAAATAAAAAAGAGAAAAATATTTTTTTTTCACCTGCAAGGCGGATTTATTTATATGCTCATAAAAAGGATTTTCTTTACTTTCAAAATCCGACGAAACTGAGTTAAAGTTTTTACCCCTCAGCTCGTTTTTTCATTTTTGGAAACAGTTAATAATCACTCGCGGCCAGGTCTTGGCTGTAGGGCGGGTGATTCAAAAATATCAGCGCAACCCGACTGTTGAGCAGTTTTGGGGCAGAATCAATTTTTTTAACATGTTTCGCACCATCACTCAATTACTTTCATATTTAGCTTTTTTTTTAATTAAATAAAAATATTTGAAATGAAAATTTAATTAATAAACAATAAACAAAAACCTTCAAACTCTAGTACTCCATATACGAGTAGAGTATATATTTAGCCACCCACAATGCCGCCACAACATATTCAAAGGAAATACGCGTTTGCTTAAATATAAAAAATATATGTATATACATACATATATATTTTAATCCCTCCAACATTTTTAAAACATCTTTAAAAGAAGTGCAGCAATCAATTGCGCAACCCTCCCAGAAGCAACACTGATCAACTATCGATAGCGACAGTTACATATGTTATCGAGAAGAACGGAGCATAAATAAACACTTCCTCTTGCGATCCAAATGTGAATTTGCGTGAAAATAGCGCCTATTTTTTACAATTAATGTGGTTTATTGAAAGAATTTCGAATTGTTGTATTATGATAGATATGTATTTATGCATGTGAAATGTGAAAGTCGCTTTGTGGTAAAGTTTTAATTGTTTGATTGATTGGCTGTTGTTGCCTATGTTAATTCTGCTACGGATACTAACATTGCTTATTTGTGTTGTCTAATTGTGAAATACTCTTTATAACATCGGCAGCATTTCCATTCTTATGAACTTTCATCCTGTAAAAAAAGAGAAAAAAAAGAAGAAAAAATTGACCTTGTAGGCATTAAAAAATTTCATAAATAATTGCGTTGCTTGTTTCTTTTTTTCTCAAAGTAGTTTATTATAAATATTTCAATTACACAATGTTTTATAAACAATATATAATAATATAATATATGTATGTATCTATGTACATAAATATACATAAGTTATGCTTAATGAAAATATTTCGTACTACAAAATATGCAACAGTTTTACTAGCACTTTATTTTTTATTATTAATTTCTACCTAACTCTATACAGATTTATGAGTATTTAGTATGTATTAAATGAAATACAATATTTTAATAAATTTTTATTTTTTTGGAATCTCTCAGGGCTTCAGTGTCTTTATAATTCGTTTGCGCTTGGCTCCTGGCTCGTCGTCGGCAGCAGCGCACGGCCATGCTTTAACGGCTATTCGGTCGGCGTTTCGCTACTGGCTGGCGAGGAGTCGAGTGCATTTTTTTTTGGCTGCAGGCGTGTGTGTGTGTGTGTGTGGGCATGATGCAGTGCAGACTACGGAGAATTGCGGCTCCAGTGTTGCGTGGTTTGAGGAGACGAGTTGAGGGCGTCTTAACTGGCGCACGTTCATTCGCTCACTCTAACGCTTGCTTGTACATACATACATAAGTATTTATGTATTTCAGAAACACTGAGAGTTGCTCGGCGTTGAAGGTCGTCTGTAATAATGGCGTCCTAAAAGAAATACAGGGTTTTGTTTTTGGAATTTCATACGAATTTCAACATCATTACGGTTGTGTTATGATTTTTATCACAACAATAAAAAAATAGTTTGTAATTTATGTAGTTGAAAAAAAAAATTATTTATAAAAAATAATGTTTTTAAATTTTCATTTCATACCCGCAAAAGTTTGCTTTATGCTTGTGGTGGGAGAGATTTTAGCACGTATGTAGGTACACAAGTCATTGTTTTATTTAATTTTTTTTTTTTGCATTTTGTTTTTGCAACGCACACGCACACGCAAAGACATAGAAAAAATCAAAGCAATTTCTTTAGATCTAAAATAAAAGCAAAAATTCATTGCCATATTTGGTTGGGCATTTATGTATATACATACATATATGTTTATGTAGAATTAACGAAAAGAAAAAAAAACTAAAAATATTTTTGTACAATTAACCCACCTTAGCACATCATCGCGTTTCCGCTTGGTGGTGCTCATTTTGCGTACGGGCTCCTCACGGAAACTCGGCGAGTAGCGTTTCTCCAATTTTGCGCCGCCCATTGTGGTCGCTTGCATCACGCCTACAAAATACATTCATATATAAAGAAATTGCTGATTAGTTGTGAAATTTGACTTTATTTTTCGAACTTTTTTTTCAATTTAAGTTAAATAGAAAAAATTATATTTTTATTGTGTTTTTTTTTCTCTTATACTAATGAAATGGACAAGAAAAATGTTTGATTCATACAAATGCGATTTATGTATGTATGTATTTTATTAGTATTTAGTTGAGGAATATGCTGAATTGGCAACAATCACAAATGTGATGGCATGAATTTGAATATTTTGAGGCAAATATTTAATAATTAATTTTTTTCCTTCTTCAACACGCACAAGAAAATACAGAATTGTATTTTTTAAGAGATTTTTTTTTAAAGAGGAATTTAAAAATGTTTGAATGGCGAAATAAAAATTAAATGAAAAATGAGACAGTAAAATTGTTCGACCTACTCAACATTTTTTATAAAAAAAATACAGCCTAAATATTTATAAAATATTATTTAAGTGTTTTTACTGTGAGTTTCTGGCTGGCGTTAACAAAAACTGTGAAGAACACTATATTTCTAAATACTTTCAAATTCAACTTTATTAAAAAACCATAATTTTTAATAAAATTTTAAATCTAATTAATTTTCTTCAAGATGCTTTAATATTTGGTTGTCTAACCAAGGATAATTGAAGTATATTAAAAATAATTAAAAAAGAAAATTCAGAAAAAAAATTTAAAATACTGAAAAATAATTTTGAAAATAATATTTAAATTTAGACAAAACTTCAAATCTTGCTTCTTTTTCTTATAAAAAATATTTTTAGACTGTAACTAAAATGCTAACCATATATTTATGTACATTTGAATTCAATAAAAAAGCGAAAAATCTTTTTATTAAAAATCAAATAAAAATTTTCTTCTTCTTATTAACACAATAGATTTTCACTTCCTCGAAGTATATTCAAAGACAAAAATTTTTAGTCATAAAATTTTGTATGAAAAAGTCGATCATTAGAAGCTTCGTTCGATTTTATTTTCTCACGATTGCGATGTTTGCTGAAATTTTGGAATACCTCATTTAACTTCTAGGTAGTCGTATTTGTAGTTTCTTTTCTTTTTATTAATATTGCCCAAATCTTCTGGATTTGGTGGACATAAGGAAGAAGGATAACAAAAAATGATACAAATTTGCTGAATTGGCGTGAAAATAAAGAAAAACATGATAGAAGTGTTGTAGATCAATCTTTTATTAAGAGATTTTTCGAAAGGAATTTAAGTAGTGAATACTTTCAAAAATTTTTGGAACTTGCTGCCAAAAAAAAAAAAATCCACAAAACCCTAAAACATTTTTTTAACTAAATATTCTTATAATATATATTTGTATATAACACAAAATAATTGTTTGTATTCATATATAATTTGCACTGTAATTAATATCGATACACGTATTAATAAAAAAAAAAAACGATTTAAAGATCGGGATAAAATCTTTATACAAACCCTTCGTGAGTGATATATGTATTGTATAACCGTCGCCGTCGTCAGCGTCATAGTCGTCGATTTAGGTATTGCAAATAGAAAGCAACATTTTAACGATTCGAGTCTGAGACTGAGGACATTTTACGTACATTACAACAACAGAGGAGCGTTGTTATTGTACTTTATATCTTTGCTTTGTGGGCTTAACGGGTTCAATGGTCCTCAGTACTTTTATTTGCGGCCGGGCGACATGCTTTCGACACTGAATCATAATATATATAAAAATAAAGAAAAAACACACAACAACTTTGGTTTGCTCTTTGATAGTAAAAAAGGAAAACAAGTTTTTTTTTTAGGATATTACGCTATTTGCGAGTTTCCCATGCCCCCAGTGGCGTTGTTGGAGGCGACGGCGGCGGCGGCTGCGGCCGCGGTGGTGGTGGTTCCAGCTGCGCCCAAAAATATGCAAAGACGCAATCGATCTCTTTGCGCACTTTCTCTCCCTCTCTATCTTTCTCTTTTTCATTATCTCCCTCTCATTTTATTTTTCTTGCGAGTTATTACTTGCTTGCACAAATCACTGCACTGTGTTCTAATCAATGTTCAATGTTCAATGTTCAATGTTCTCTGCTGCCGCGCCATTCATTTCTACGTATCTTCGAGCCATGCAACGAGGCTACACAGGTACGGGAAGTAAGAGCAGAGCAAAAAAATCATTTCAACGTAGATCCTCGTGTGCCGTAACGTACTCACACACACACACACATACAAATATATACATTTAACACATTTAATGAGTGGTGAGCGTTGTAAGCACACAAGGATTTTATATAATAATACAGTGGGTAGATATGTACATGTGTATGTTTTATTTTTGTATTTTTAAATCAGTTAAGAAAGTTGATAGTTTTCTAATAATACGTGTGTAAATTTAAATTGATTAAAATATATGTAAAAATGTAAAGCAAGCGTGCAAGTGAGTGGCTCTTAAACTTTTATTCTGAGTTCTAATTATGTTTAATTATATTTTTAATTATGTTTAATATTTTCCAATAAATTGCTGAATTCTTTTAAAAAAATTGTAAATTGAATTTTTTTCGAATTATTCTAAATTTCTTTTTTATTTCATGAATTTTTTTCTATTTTTTTTTTTAATTTAATAGGACATTTTTCTATAAATTGCTTTTTGTTATTTCAAAAAATATTTACAAAATTTTTCTTTACATATATTGCATGCTTTTAGTTCAATATATTGCGCATTTTTTACTTAATAAAATATTTAAAAAAATGAATTTCAAATATTGATAGCGTTTTTAGTTCAATGTATTGCTCATTTAAAAAATTTTTTTAAAAAATGTCTATTCCAATAAATTGATAATTTTTAGTTCAATTTATTTTGCTTATTTTTAAACCAAAAATATTTACAAAATTTTTCTTTTCATATATTGATAGCTTTTAGTTCAATATATTGCTCATTTTTCTTTAAAAATTTTAAAAGAAATTTCCATTTCAATATAATGTTCAGTTTCAAAATTTTATAACAAAATTTTTTTTTTAAGCTTGCTGCCAGTTTTGAATTCAAAATCATTAATTTCCATTTTTTTTTTAAATAGTTCCTTTTGAGTTAAAAAATTTCAAATGAATTTCTTTTTCAATACGTTGCTAATTTTTATTTCAAAATTATTAAAGCAAAATTTGTTTGCGGATATATTGCCAAATTTTATTAAAATTGGTTTAAAGTATCTTTTTTTTTAATATTTTGTTTTAATATTTTGTTTTAATATTTTTTTTTTTAATTTAAGGGAAAACTTTTTTCCAATATGTGTTTCTAATTTTTAATGAAAATTTTTAAAACAAATCAATATATTGCTAATTATTGCTTCAACTATTTTTTTCAATGTATGCTTACATACATATATACTTACATATGTGTGTACTATATTTTGCAAATTTTGATTTAAAAATTTTTAAACTGATTTTTTTACTCGAATAAATTGTTGATTTCTGATTCAAAATTTTTTAAATAAACTTTTTCCCAAATTGTTGATAATTTCATTTGGTATTTTGTTAAGTTTTTTTAATATTCCTATTTCAAAAAATTTAAAATTTTTCCTTATTATTTTTATTTTTTTCAAAAGTTTTTCCAATACATTGCTATTTTTCAGCTCAAAATTTTTACAGTAATTTTTACTCATTTTTCTTCAAAAATCTTTTCTTTTTTTTTCAAATAATATGCCAGCTTTTTTTTTTAATTAAAATTAAAGTAATTTTTTTTGTTAATTTTTAGTTGAAAAATTTTCAAGTTGAATCTTTTTTTCAAATATTTTGTTAATTTTTAAAGATTTGTTTTTCCATAAACTATTAATTTTAATTTCAAGTTTTTTTTTATATTTTAAATTTATGGATCGCACTTGCCTTGCCTGCTTTACTTTTTTTATATAATTTTTTTTTTGTATAAATATACGTACATTTAAACTTATAAACACACATTTTCACCTGCACTTTTCCTACTTGTACTTCATACAAAGTATATTTGCACTTACCCTTTTTTAGCATTTATTTTGCTGTTACTAAAATTATTTATTGTTTTTTACTAATGAAAATTAAATTCACTTCTTTCGCGTAATTTATTTTACAGACATTTTTTATTATTTTATTTGCATACAATTCAAACATATGTATACATATACATTTGATCTGTAAATAGGAATACAAAAACAATTTTATGTTGAGAGCAAATTGTAATTGTACGATTTACAGTTTAAAATTGTTTGAGAAGCAAATCTATTTTATGATTAGACAGGGTCTTATGAATAAGTATAAATTTAGTAAATGCATGCGTTATTTTTTTTTTTTTTAATTTAAGATCTTCATTAAAATTTTGCATTTGTTATATGAGTTCCTATAAACTCCACCTAAGGTACGCTGCAATCGATTTTTCAGAATTATCGATTAGCGCTTAATGTTAGCGGCACTTCTGTCATATTGACTATAAATAATAAAATTATGTGTTAAACGCGTTCAACTACGTTCACAATTTATTAAAAATACAAAAACAAAAAAATTTAAATATTTCCATAAGAAGCACCCTGTGTAACTTAAAAAATTTTTAAATGTCTCTAAAACTCATTATCTAAGAAATAGGAAGCAGCAGACATTCATTCGGCAATAGAGTTCGCTTAGCAATTTTTTAATGCTCGTTTTGATTTATACACATTTTTATTGCATATTTTATTTCTTTAATTCTTTTTTTTCATAAAATTAAATTCAATTTGTCTACGACACTTCTTTAATTGTCACATTTTTTATTTTAATTTATATTTCTTATTTTTATTCTTTCATTTGAACACAGTGAAATGTACATTTTTTGGTGAATTTCATGTTACAATAACGAAAAAATCAGAACATAACCTAAAAATAGTTTGGTTTTATTTTTTTTTTATATTCGAAACATAGAAGTTCATATATATATTTTTTATATTCGTTAAATATATTTTTAAAATTCATTTTTAGTGTATATATGTATATACATATATAAACACCTTTTGATAAACTTTTTTAGTATATATATGAATATATAAAAACACTGTTAACTATATGTTACATATACATAATAGATAAAAATGTTTTCTGGTTTGCTTTAAAGTGCTAAAAGTAAACGAAAAAATGGAATAGACAAACAAAGAAACACACGCATAGAGATGTATGTATGTATGTATAAGTATGTAAAAAATGACTTGGATGAAGAGTTGGTTAATGATTATTTTTTATTTCAAACTTTATATAATATTTCGTTTGTACTTGATGATTGTAGACAGACAGCACTTGATGCACACGCTTGATATATGTACATATATATATATAAATATATGCAGAGGTATATATGTATATGAGGTGCTGAAAGGAGTTTACACGAGCAGAAAAACATACGTGTATTTGTATTGTACATATGTACAAATTTAAAAAAAAAAATAAATAAATAAACTATTGAAAATATTCCATATAATACTTGTGTGCATGTTATGGCGCACGTTGCACTGTTATCGCTTACTCAAATTGTCTAAACTATGCAGTCAGTATTTTACACAAGTGTAATTGCTTTAATTTTTTTACTTAATTTTTTTTTATTGCAAAAAAAGTAATTAAACAGCAGCATTTACATATAATTAATATTCTAAAATATTAATATTTGTATGTGTGTATATAGCTTAGTATATTTAAAAATTTATTACTAGCAATCACAGATGCACTATTTTTATTTTTTTGTTTTTTATTTTTATTTTTCTTCTCTTTTATTTTTTTTTATTTATTTATTTTTTTTTTTGTATGGAAAACATTAATTAAATGAATTTCAATGAATGCAATGTTGATTAGCTGCCAAATTGTGAAAATATTTTTTGTTTTTATACACTAAAATGTCGTACTTGCTATTTTACGTTATATTATATGTATATGCATATGTATACATAAGTATATGTATATGTATATGCCTCTCATAAATGGCCGTCTGCTTACCTTTATATTTGGGCACAAACTTCTGTACATCGTGCGGAATGTTTTGATAAAAGTCCAATTCACGCAAATTCAATGGCTTTATGACAGTGGATTGATTCAGCAATAGAAGACGGGTGTGACCACCGACCTGGAAGAAGCAAGAAAAAAGAAAAACACATTATTTTTGATGCTTCAAAGGCATGTATTTGTTTAGAATGCAGACAAAAAAAAAAAAAACAAAAAAAAATGCTAAATTTAGTTTATATTGTAAAAAACTAAAATAAATAATAAAATCCCAAAAAAATATATATATTCGACAAAACTAATTCATATAATGCCGTACATATCACATTCCACCTAATTTTATCCCCTAAAAAACACCAATGACCAACTTACAAACGACACTAAACATAAAATGCATACTTATAAATAAAAAAATAAATTAATTTTTTTCACAAACGCATAATAGATTCATGCTCATCAGTTTTCATTTGCTTATTCAGAGCAACCGTGTGCTTGTAATAACAGCTGTTGAAACAATGCAGCACATAACATAATCGATTTAACATACATCGATAACAGCTACAGCTACTAAAAGCCGAAGCTGCTGACTTCAGCAATGATTTGACAATTTGAGGGCAGAGAACTTTTTGTATGCTCTCGTGCGTGTATTAAATAGCATTTATAGTGGCAAATAGCAAAAAGTTATATTGTAAAGCTCTCAAATATAATGAAATAATAAAGGAACTAAATGTTAAGTTATTTTCAATTATATACCACGCACCTGCACATGCGAACAACAATTTCACAAGGAGACAAACAAATTAAATTTTTCCTTTCATTTCATTTTCAACAATTTCACAACGAACAAGAAGTAGAATATGTGCTAAAAAAAAGTTGTGTAGCCAATCTTTAAGCATATTAAGGTAATTGCCCTATATCTATGTATTTAACTCGGCCCATCAAATAACTGCACTTGTCATTTTTTTACCCCAACGTTCAGTGACCCATTAAGAAAACAAAAATAAAAAAAAAGAAAATAGAATACAAAAAATGAGAAAATCCAACAGACATGTTTGACTTAATCCACACGGATAAATGTGCAGAGTAAATATTTACTATATGAGAAATAAAATTAATATATGAACAAATAAACAAAACGTCAGGCGTTTTGAGTGAAAAAATGCTTCTTGGTGTACAAAAATCACTCTTTAAATATTTCGTATTGCAACAAAAAAAAAAAAAAAAAAAAAAAAAAAAATCACAGGCATATAATGTTATCGATGAACCGATAAATAAAGGCACAACGCAATTAAAGAGTGAAAATATATCATAGATAAATACAAATATATGTTATGGGTCTAAAGATGCGACTGACGCAAACAGTGACTCAATTGAATATGCCCCCTTATATGCGTTGGCACTAAAAATAATGCAAAAAATATTAATAACTTGCTATTTGTTGTTGAAATAGAAATTATTTTTGAGTGGCGGTCCAAAGTCATCCAACATTGTTATTATTATTTTGATATTTTTTGTTATTGTCTGCAGTTGGAAAATATTTATATATTTTCATTAAAAACAAAATATTTATTTTCGAAAATCAGGGAAACAAAAAAATATATATATACTTAAAAAGAAATTAATACATTTGAGAATAAAAAAATTTTAAATTATTAAAATAAATAAAATATTTATTTTCAAAAATATTTAAAAAATTTAAATTATTTTTAATTGGAAATTAATATTTTTATTTATTAATTAAAAAACGCTTTCTTTGAATTTAATAACATTTATACATATAAAAAATCAAGAACAAATTTTCAAAATCAATTTAAACATTTCCAAAACAAGTTTTTTTTACTTTTAATTTGAAATTAGTATTTATATTTACTTATTAAAAATGTGTAACTTAAAATTAATAATATTTTCATTATTCAAAAACAATAAATTTATTTTCATAAAGAATTTAAAAATTAAAAAAAAAAATGTTTATTTTTAATTTGAATTCAATTTTATATTTATTCATTAGAAAATGTTTTATTTGAAATTAGTAATATTTTTATTCTTTGAAAACAAAGTAATTATTTTTAAAACATTTTAAACATTTATAAAAAAAAAATTTATTTTCTTTTCATTTGAAATTAATATTAATATTTATTCGAAGAAAGTTCATATAAATAATACTTTTGGCTTTAAAACAAAGTCATTATTTTTAAAAATACTTTAAAAATTTGTAAAGAATTTTATTTAATTTTTTTAATAATAATAACAATTTCTTTAATCAAAAACAAAATATTTTTTATCAAAAACATTTTAAACATTTATAAAAAAAAATATTTTTAAATTGGAATTAATATTAATATTTATTCACTGAAATTAATAATATTTTTGTTTTTTAAAACATAGTAATTTTTTCAAAAACATTTTAAACATTTACAAAGACTCTAATTTGAAATTAATGTTTATATTTTTTTTATCAAAAATATTACTATTATTTAAAAACAAAGTACTTTTGTTTCAAAAATATTTCTAAAAAAAAACTTAATTTATTTTTAATTTGAAACTAATAATAATTTATAATATTTATACTTATCATTAAAAAAATGTTTTATTTGAAATTAGTAATGTTTTCATTCTTCAAAAACAAAATATTTATTTTCGAAAACATTTAAAACATTTCTAAAACTAGTTAATTTATTTTTAGTTTATTTATATCGTCATTTAAAATGTTTTTTTTTTTTTTTTTTTTTTTGAAATTAACATTTATATTCATTCATTTGAAAGACATTTAATTGATATTAATACTATCTTTATTCATTAAAAACAAAGTAATCATTTGCAAACAAATTTTAAACATTTATATAAAATTTCATTTTTTTAATTTTGAAATTATTATTTATATTTAAAAAAAATTGTTTGAATGTTATTAATAACATTTTTATACATTAAAAACTGCTTATTTTCGAAAACACTTTAAACACATATTTATTTTTAATTTGAAATTAAAATTATTTTTAGCGAATTTAGAATGTCTAAACGCTGTGCTAATCATGTGGATGTGTACGCGCTTTTCGGCATGTCGTTGAGCGGCAAGAAAAAGTTTTGAACTTGACCGAATTGTCCAATTTGGCGGCGAATAACAGCTGTTGATTTTACTTTTTTTAATTTAATTTTATTTTTGCAAAATATCAACACATGATGAGGCATATGATTGCTGCTTAAAAATAAATTCGAAAGCCACCACAGTAAATTTTGTGCCATAAAAATAAATAATTTAAAAAACAGGAAATGGTTTATATTAAGTGAAAATTATTTCACTTTTTCTTATTATTTTCTTTTTCTTTTTTTTTTTAAAACAACTAATTTTAACAACAGTTTCATTTTGGTTTTATTAGTTGGAATTATTATTTGCTTTTCTATTTATACATATAATTAATTAATTTTTCGCAGCAAATTTTTTTTTATATATGTATTATGTATATGTTTCGGCAAACATTGTTTAAAAGTCAGATAATATTTTATTACCAATGATTTCTTTGTCCGAGGTGATTAAAATGACGTAAATGCAATAAAATAATTAAGAATTATTAATAACTTTTCGAGTTTTATGAACTATAGATTAGTTTAAAAAAATCGGCGGTTTTTCAATTCATAAATTCTTAAAAGAAAAAAATATAAATTTAAACTTATCAGCGTTATGTACCGATAAAAATGAATAATTACCTTTCAGCTCATATGCAATATACATACATATACAAAACTAGGCGAATAACCGTGGGAACCAATGAACCAATTATTATCAATTTTCCATATATTATAAAATACCTTACAACGGAAGTAATCGATAACTTTGGTGCCGCTATGCTAGCTGTCATTGCGAATGTGATATATATCTTCGTGGTTTTAATACCTTGAGTTTTTCAAAATAATTTTTTCTTTTACAGAAAACATAAAATAAAATTCACTAAAAATTGCTAAGAGTATTAAAACCAAACTCACACACACACACACACCCACCTGATTGGAGAGCGGCTGAAGTGCGACTTCATCCTCACTCTCTAAGAGATCCTTACTCAACTGAGGCTGCAGGAAATTATTTGCTGCCGCCACTGATCCTCTGCTGTTGTTATTATTACTAACGACGTGCTCCGCTGGTGGAGTCGGCGCTGAGGATGCATTCGCACAGTTACCACCAACATTACCGGCACACGAGTCGGAACGTTGACGACCTAAATACTGATGCAAAGCAGCTGTCGCTGAGGGTAGCGGATGTGCTTGTGTTGGCAGCGATTGTTGGATAGACTGTTGCTGCTGCTGCTGCTGCTGCTGCTGCTGCTTCTGCAGTGGCTGATAGGTAGCTTTATCAAAAGCGTCGATTATAGTCGATTTAATGGGCGTCGAACAGTGACTACCACTGCGACTGTTATTGCTCACCGACAGTTGTTGTAAATTAGCTGTGACCAATGTGCTGCTGGTAACATGTTGCGGTGAGTTGAGTTGTTGTTGTTGTACAACTGTAAGTGCATTGCCGAGTAGTGTTGTTGCATCTGCTGTGCCGCTGCCAAATTGTAAGGGCGATAATGGACCTAATGTAGGCGCAATTTCACCAACGCGCTGTTGTTGTTGTTGTTGTTGCTGCTGCGACTGCAATTGTAGTTGCAATTCAAGCTGTTGCTCATTAGCTTGTTGCTGTTGCTGCTGCTGCTGCACATGTTGCTGGTGTTGGTGTTGTTGCTGCTGATGACTATGGCTGTGTACATGCAACGTGGTCGGTTGTATTGTTGGAACATGTTGATGATATGACGTACAGTCAGAATCTCCCATGCCCCAATCCCCCAAGAAATATACCATTCCCTTCGGCGTAAAACAGTTTAAATTCAGTTACTATTACGGTAACCGTAGCAAAGACGGGATTGCTTTTGTTTGGGAAATTTTGTGGCCTTAAGTAAAATTTTTACTTGCTGCTAGGCGCCAAAACCTCGTGGGGTTTTTTTCTTTATTAATTTTAATTGCTTTTAGTAGAAATATTATTATTTATAGCTGTAAATAAAAAGAAAGAAAATAAATTGTCATTAGTAATGCATGAGGTTTATAATAAATGTAAAATAATTAATTTAAAAAAACGCCTAAAAGTACGCAACAAGCAGTGCTTATCACTTCAATTGTACTTTTTATATTAAAAATTCATTATTCATTTAATTAAACAATTATTTTATTAAAATTAATGCACAGCAACTTCTGTGCATCCACATTAGCGCCTAAATGTATGCATTGCATTTCGTTTACCCTCTACCCAACTACATACTCATTAAAATATTTATTCATGCCAATCAACTTCATCTTTGACTCTTGTTAAAAATGCACACATAAACCTTGAGTTGTGTACCTAGATGCAGATATATGTATGTATGTACATACACAGTGAAAGTTATCAGCTGTATAAACACATCCTTGCAACCTCGACGCCTAGAATCTATGCTGCAAGTAAAAAACAACAAAAGTGCACTTGCCAGCTTGCCAAGGACTTCTGCTAAGTGCACGTGTACTAAATGAAATCTGTCCTTCCTGACTAACTGTCCGCCGTACTACACACACAGCCATCCACCCACACACACATAAGCACTTCAAACTTCCCACTGTCAATATGTATTTAAATAATACAACCAAAATCAAAGCTGATGCAATTGAAGGTCGTCCTTCAGTGCAATTCACAGATATATGTATGTAGTAAAATAAACCTAACTGTCTGTATATGACAAATATTTGTAAAAAGTATGTATAATATATTTGGAAAAATAAATTACGACAATATTCTGTTGCCTGCTCTCAGCCCAAATAAGCACATCCCTACGAATATGTGTGTAGATAAATGAAAGTGTTAAAATATTCAACGCCATGGGAAAACTTAATTACATTATGATAATGTACACTTTCATTGGGTATAATAAACAAAACACAAAAACGAAAATTTTTCCTGCAAATTTCATAACAGTTGTGCGAAGCATTCATTACACTGCGCCGCCAATTCAATGTTGATTGCCAGTGACAATGTTATGTTTGTGGTTTATAGAAATTTATGTAGGTCAAGGCCCAAACGAAAAGTGGTGGATAGATAGATAATAAGCATTGACATACATGAAAATACGTGTATAATGCAAAAAATATTGAAAACCAGCTGAAAACTCATTATCATTGCTTTTATGATGAGACTTTATGTGGAGTAAACGTAACGTATGCAGTAAAAGTTTGAAATCCACTGGTTGTACAGAAATCAAACTATTCTGCTGAGAATCATTAACAGTTTTAAAAGCGGTGTGCGAAATATTCGCAATTTTTTGTATTAAATTAATGTCATATTTTTTTCTATACACAAGCAAAAGTATGCGGTTAAAATCCGCTATATAAAGATGATCGATAACCGATGATTATATTATACAGTAATGCAGTGCTTACACTATGCTTTGACGACTAGGTGACATCATGATTGTACTAAAATCCAGAAGCAAAGCAATGCAGAGTGGAAAAAAACTTGCAATTAGACAGAAATATCGATAACCGATAAACATACCATTGCAATAAGGCATGTCCACAACATGACTGCACCAGAAAAAAATAATTAAGAAGAAAATAATTGAAAATCCATTTAATTTACATATACAATCAAACTTAAATAGATTTTTTTATGAACTGAATTACGTTAAAAACCAAATATATTTATATGTTTGGTTATGAAAAATTATTAAATATTTTCCATAAGCATTCAAACTGTATACCGCACATACATAAGCTCGATGCATATGCGAGTATTTATTGCGATTACTTCATTTCAAAAGCAAGAAAAAATCGAAAAAAATATCATAAAATTTCCCTTTTTTACGCCATAGGAAAACCAACACACTTTGTTGTTGTTAGGAAAAAAAATTTAATGAAAATAAAAAATCATGATGTAAGACAGCAAGGAAATTACGACCATAAAAATTATGGCATTTGTGCTTATTCAATGTTCCATTTCAACAGATGTATGTACTCTGTATGAGTTCTATGACTGTTCAATGACTGCACGAAGTGATGAGCTAACACTTGAATAAGATAGCGTTATGTGGTGGAGTACTAAGTAGAATATGTATTATTAATTTAGTTTTTACGCATCATAAACAGTGTTTACTTCATAGAAATAAATATCACACTTTAATGTTTTTGTTTTGTCATCATAGCTTTGAAAATAATATCAAAAATAAATATGTAAATATTTCCAATATCAGCTGATTGCTGCAGCACAACAATTGAGTTGTCTATGTCAAAAATCTACATAATAACAAAATTCCATATTAAAATGCTAATTGCGTCTAAACGAGTTCATTAGCACGAAATCTAAATATTAAATTTGTGATATTGATACATACATACTATGTATATTTAAATATTTGTAAATGTGTCTGTAGCCATACATATAAGCATTTATTTGTTATACCAATAATTATAACTAAGTAAAAAGTGCAAGGAAAATAAATAAAATCATGCAAAACAAAAAAAAGAAAAACAATTACTGGGTTTCCAGACAGAAAAAATTACCTAAAAAAGTAAAATGAAAAGGCAAACAAACATAATGAATTAATAAAAAATAAAAGAATAACAATAATAAAAAAGTTAATAAAACTAAATGAAAATAATAAAATAAATTAATTGCATTAAAAATAAAATGAAATAAACTAAATTAAATGAATAAAACAAAAAAAAAAATCATCCCTTGAATATAATAAAAGAATATAAATCGATAAAATAAAATAAGATTAAATTAATTTAAATACAATAAAATAAAAGAACAAAGCCAAATGCAATAAAATAAAAGATAAAAATAAAAGAAATTGAAAAAATACTATATATGTTATATAAAAAATAAAATGAAATAAAAAATAAAATTAAACAAAGTAAATATAAGTCCAAAATGAGAAATATTAAGGCGAACACAAGAAATAATAAAATTGAGAGAACTAAAATAAATATTATAAAGCACAAAAAAATAAAATTAAATTATAACAATTAAAAATAAAATAAAAGAAAAAATAATAAAATAAAATAAAATGAATAATGCACATTTGAATAAAAAAAGGAATAAAATAAATTTAAGTAAAACGAAATCAAATAGATGATAAAAAATTAATTGAAGAAATTATTTGAAATAAAATAAAATTAATATTATAAAATAAAAAAATTAATTAAAACAATAAAATTTTAAAATTAAAATTAGACAGAAAATTAAAATTAAAATCAAATAAATTTAAGTAAAATGAAATAAAATTGATAAAAAAAAATTAATTGAAGAAGGAAATTATTTATATACTAAAATTAATGTTATAACATAAAATAAAAAAAATTAAAACAACAAAAATTTAAAGTCAAAATAAAGTAATTAATTAAAATTAAAATAAAATAAATTTTAGTAAAATGAAATAAAACTGATGATAAAAAATTAATTGAATTATTTATAAACTAAAATTAATATTATAAAAAAAATAGTTAAAACAACAAAATTTTAAAGTCAAAATAAATTAATTAATTAAAATTAAAATAAAATAAATTTAATTAAAATGAAATAAAATTGATGATAAAAAATTAATTGAATTATTTATAAACTAAAATTAATATTATAAAATAAAAAAAATTAATTAAAACAATAAAATTTTAAAGTCAAAATAAAATAAAAGAAATTAAACTAAAAGAAAATAAAATAAATCACATCAAATTAAATAGAATAGAATAAAAAAAAATAAAATAATAAAAAAATAACTAAAACAATAAAAATTTATAATAAAATAAAAATAAATTCAATAAAAATTAAATAAAAAAATAATGATTAAACTATATATTAAATATAAAGAAAAATAAAATTAAATTACATGAAACAAACCATTAAATAAAGCATAATAAAACAAATTAAAAAAAAATATACGAATTAAATAAATTTAATAATTTAATTTAATTATAATAAAATAAATTTTTTGAAAATTAAAAAATAAAATATAATAGTTAAAAATAAATAAAAATATTAATAATAATATAAGGTAATTCAATAATATCGAAAAAACAACAGCAACAGCAATTCAGTCAGGCATTCCAGCCAGCTGTTACATAGTACTCTCGAAAAGTAATCTATCAATCATCTCAAAAGATGACAACACCTGCAAGTCTTGAACGCGGTTATTTATTTCATAGGGAAGATTTGACAACGGTCAACAATAAATAGTGTGCATCAGCGTCTTTTTCTGAAAATAACATTGTTTTTTACCGCTTCGAAGATGTCCGAATTTATATTAAATAAATAGTATTTCCGGAAAGTTTTCATTTTCTATTTTAAATGGAGGAAAAGTGCGGCTGAAGGCCATTGCATGTTTGCGGAAGTTTATGGTGTATCTGCGCCGACATGGAGAAAATGGTTTTGATGTTTCGAAAATGGTGATTTTAACGACGAATTCAAAGATAAACGTTTTCGACTAAAACCAAGGAGTTTGAGCGGTGCATTGCGTGAAAAGAAATGAGCGTAAGGCTTGGCAAAATGATTTTGCAGCATGAAAACGCTCGACCCCACGTGGCTGTAAGGGTCAAAAACTACCTGAAAATGCTGAAATGGGATGACTTACCTAACTCGCCATATTCTCTTACCCTTCCGATTGTTTGCTTCTTTGACGGATGAAAAACAGTTTGAGGATTGGTTAACCGGTTTGGCTATTTTGAGGAAATCGAAGAATGGCTCAACGAGGGGATTGAGAACAGAGAAGACTTATTTCTCAGCGATGGTATTAGTAAATTACCGGATAGATGGAGGAAAAATGGTCGTTTCGACTGATATATAAAAAATATTTTTTTGAACACAAAAAAAATGAACTAAATTAATTTGTACCCAAAAAGTAGCTCAGCGTGTAGAAATAAATTAGTAATTTAAATTGCAACGTGTTAAGAACAGTTACTCGTAAGATCATTTCACTCCAGTTATCACTTTGACGTTAGGGCCGATTGTATTTAATCGCCGCCACATACTCAAA